AAGGACTTGCTAAAGTCCTCTTGCTTGAGGGAATGCCATAATATTTAAAGTCAGGATCTTCTAACCACCTCCAGCCCACGTGCTGTGGGAGCTGTTAGCTAACATTAGTTTTATGGCCTGATGCAGGAGACCTCGTCTTTGGAAGTTCTTGATTTCAGCAATGATGCAAAGATGCTGAGGTGTTTTGGTAAACCAACAAAATTGGATAAGGCAAGAGCCACAATGTCAGGCTTGAATGGAATAAAACAGAATTGCAGTGATTTTCAGTAGTAAAATGTTCTGTATTCCATGGATGTCTGCCTTTCCCTCAGTAGTACTTTTGCCTCTGGAGCTGCCAGGAAGAGGAGGAGTGGTAGAACAGGAGAGAAAAGTAAGGTAAGTCACTGGTAAGGGGGGGTTATGGGGAGGCTGAGCAAGCAGCTTACTTTCCAGCTAGGCTTAAAACCAGGAAAGTCAAATATCCAGCTGGGTTTAAAACCAGGAAAGCCAAATATCCAGCTGGATTTAAAACCACACCCTTCAGGGTGGGCAGGCCCATAGAGCCTGAAGGATTTCTTTGGGCTTGCCGTAGCTGCTTTTATCTTCCCCTGCTGATCTTACTCTTGTCTCTTTTCAGTCTGGTCTGACTAATTGTTACCTTTCTAAGGCTTTCCTGGGGAGCTATAATTCATGGAAGCACAGGATGTGTGTGGTGAAGGAAGAAGCCTGACAAGGCTGGCTCCATAACATGGCCAGGTATCCTGTTTCTAGGGTCTGAAACAGCTCTCCTTGGTTTTGTCTGCCTCTGATGTCCCAAATACACTGCTCTTTCTTCACTAATAGCCACCCAGCTTCTCTGATTTTGGTGTGTTATCTTGTGTATTAGGGTTTTGGTTTTTTTGTTGTTTTTTTTTTTTTTTGTTTGGTTTGGTTGGTTTTTGTGTTTTTTTTTGTTGTTGTTTTGTTTTGTTTTTTTTTTTTTGAGTGGATGAGGTTGAAACATCTGCTGTTACTGTATCTGAGGTACAGGATGTACCTTTGAATGTATGTCCATAAGTGACACAATTTTTTTTAATTTAGTGGTGTTTTCCCCCCTGCATTAAAACAATGTTTAAGACCTTAAAGGACCAAGGACATCTTAGCATGACTGCTGTACAAGTAAGTTGCAGGTTTTCTGCCTTGAGGATTCTTGTCTCAAAGCCTGCACTCTTTTTGGCCCTGCAATGAAATAGATAAACAAAGGAAGTGTGTGTTGCAAAGAATGGAGAAAGTCTGGATAGTTAGCAGTAATTTCAGGATCCTATGCACAGATTTTATCACTGATGTGAATTGAAAAGTCAATTTTCTGTAACTACTTAAATTGCAGAAGTTTTATAATTAAAGCTGTGATGGTCAGAATTTATTATCTGATGCTGATGTAGGTTTGGGCCAATTTCTTTCCTCCACCACTCTTTTTAAAACTCCTTTTGACTGAAGTGGTAGGTACAAAAAATTTGCACCCCTTTGTAGCAGTACACTTGTTTCAGAATGTTGAGTATGGATTAGTGGCTAGCAGAGGGGTTTTTTGTGTGTCCTGGGTGTTTCCCTGTGGTTTTGATGGAATATGACTTTCATACTTTCTGCTTCAGATTGTCTTGTGTGCTGCTTTATGTCTTGTACCTCAGGGCTGGCTGCAGGAGCAGTTGAAATGAATCTATAAATAGTTCCTTGAACTCTTCTATGGCATATAAATATTGCTCTTTACTACCCCAGACATACTGGGCACATTCATTTGTCCTCTTTTATGGTGTAAAGGAGGGAAGGGCTCATTCTCACCTGTTCAAATACTTCCAGTTACAAGTGAAAAAACCCCCTATCTATAACAGATGAATCTGTGGTAGTGTAAGAAAAGCCTCTGGTGGGTATTAAACCAGCTGGTATTTGTACATGTTTCACATTACAGTTTGGAACACTAACCCAGGGAAGCATGAGTTGGGTCATTGCGTGCTTGGGGTTTATCTAGCAAATCACAGCGACAGAAGCGGTGTGATGACCCACGTAGAACGACATGTTCAGGCTCCTCAGCGTTCCCCATCTGCAGTGCTGGTTTCACTTGGATGCTTAACTCAGGGGTGAGGGAAAGAATCTCAATGCAAATGACTGAAAGCTTGATTATTTTAATAGTGCAGTTTATTTCTTTGTTCCTTAAGTGGCACTTGTAGAAAATCTTGAGATAATGTTACTCCATTTTATATTAATGTAAGGCGGCCAAAACAATCTTAAAGGACCAGACACTTTAAGATAGTTACATAGCAAATTACTCTTCCAGTCACTTGGAGCTAGAGCTTGGCCCCCAAAGTGGACACAGGCGAATACTGGGCCCTCTCTTGCAAAGGGAAACTGGCTTATGAGAGACAGAGAAGTGAAACCCCTCCTTTTGGAGGGAAGTATCAAGAGCCACTGCTTGTAACTCTGGTAATTCTTTACTGGTAGAAATAAATAATTACATTATTCTTGGGATGTTTTTAAAGTGTTTTACTGATTTATCTGATGGATGGAAAATGTAGGAGGATTACTTTGCTATTTGTTTATGTGGGTGATGAAATAATGGCTTCCAAGTTTGTTCTTTGTGTTGGCAGCAAGAAACATGAATTGTTGAGATGTGAGTGTCTGTACTGAGGATAGCAACACATTTCGTGTTGTCAGTCAACATTTCCCCCCACTCCCTGCCCTCGTGTCACTTGTGATGTAATGCCATTCTGATGCAGTGGAACCCTCTGGGGTCCTGATTTGTAATTAGATGTGACATCATGATACAAAGGTTGCTCAAAAAATTGGTATGGGATAATTTTTATAGGTGTTAAAGCTACTTTAGTAAGAATGTTTTCTACTTTTTTGTGGTATAAAACAAACTTAGCACAAAATTTTGCTCCTTTGTGACTCCTGAGGAAACAAAATCTAAAAATCAAAAGGCATATTTCTAAATACACTATATATGGGATTCTCATTGATGCAAATGAAACAGATGGGAGTCCTGGGTGCAGCTGCACAATGTAACTATTTACAGCACATTTGCACTCGAAGTTGTACCTGCAGGACTTTTCAGGTTCTTCCCTGCTTTCATCACCACATATTGACTAGAAGCCTCTGCTATTTTTTTTTATGTTTCAGAGGTGACATAAAACCCATAAATGAGAGCCTAGCAGTCACCAGTATCACTTTCTTTGGTTTAATTAGTTTCTGACTCAGGGAAGTGCAAGCAGGAATTAACTCATTATTTTGTTTCAGTGGATTTCTATCATTCTGCATAGATATGTATAAAAATATTTTTAATTTTCAAAGGAATGTGACTTCACTAGGTGGATGTGGACAATAGATTATATTGGGCAGTCTTTATCTAGGACTTGGGAACTTTTTTTATCTGGCCATTACAGGGAGAATAAAAGTAAAATGACAGTTTTTGCATCCAGTCAAATAAATGGCATGATGTTGATTATTGATACAGCTGCAGAAGAAAGGTTTATAAAATTCAGCATCCCTATTTACTGTGTATGGATAAGGTAGCAATTTACACTGTGTTGGTCTGGCAGTTCACTGCTCTGTGAAATGGATGGATTCACGTATTGAATCACGTATGATTGATATTTGCTTGTTGCAACAAGGTGTTGTGATGGATAAAAGAGGTTTTTTAAGCTAACTTTTCAGTTAAGTATTAAAAAAAGAGAACTATCTGCTTTGCTCTGTTGGGGGAACAGTTAAAGAAGTGGATTCTGGTGTCTGTGTGCGCTCACACTTTTCAATATAATAAAACCAATCCAAACTGGATATTCAGTTGTTCTAGTGCTTCTTTCTTGTGCAGTTTTAGTTTCATGTTAACAGAGAAATTATTACCAGTACTGTGAGGTCTGTTGACTTCAAAGGAGTTTGCTGTTAAATGGAGCCAAGTCAGGGTTTCACCCTGTAACTATTAATGCTGTAAGGGACTATACTTAGCAATGACCTAAGGTCTTTCTAGAGCTACTGACTTCATGTTTCCAGCTTCCCATGGGCTCATGCACTGCGTTTTCAAATGCACAGGAAGCACCTCGTGTTCCTGTCCGGGTTCTGTACATCAGCATTTAAAAGGCAACTAGTAAATACCAGGCATGGCAGAATGACACCATGCTTTGCTTTGGCACGGGTGACAGAATGTGAGACCTGCTAGGGTGACCCTTTGCTTAGTCTGGGATATAGATCACTACCCTGAATTGCTCATGCATTAGTCGCCCTGGCTTGTTGGTGTGTTATGGGCTTTCTTGTTTTAGGAAGCCTTTGCCTCGACAGCAAATACACTCGCTGCAGGCTAGGGACTGAGATCACCTGGTTTTTAGGGATGCTGTGGTTATGTTACCTATTTGTCTGTAATGTAGTGCAACTCTGCAATAGACTTGATTTTATTGCACTGATGCTGACTTTTTTTCTTTTCTGCAAATCCAGCTGCCAACTCATAGCATTAAAAGCAAATCCTAAGAGAAATCAAGAAGCACGCTACATATGCTGACATGAGAAAATTAATCTGGTTTGATACATAATTTTTTAGAAAAACAAGTGAATATTTGAGGCTTTTAATTGATCCGCTTTCATATTTTCCTAGATATTAAACTAGCTGGCCTATAATTTCCCCCATCTCTTGCTCTGCTTTTAGGACAAAACATCCCTACTTGTGTGGGGTGTCCTTCATGGTTTTATAGGGGCTTATCCAAGGAAACTCATAAATCCTTTAGTTTGTCCCTTAAATACTGTAGTTGGGATTTCAGCAGACTTAGCTTAATTGAGTATGCTTGGTTTACCTGGATATATTTAAGTATTTCTCTACTTTTTAACTGAAAGATTAAGACTACAATCTTCTCCTGAAGTGTCAATGGCTTGCCATTCTCATTACAGTGTGTGGGGTGGGTATGTGTAGGTACAAGGTGTAACTGCACATAAGCTTGAAGAGTTAAGCCCTTTGCAATACTTAAGTGATAAGTTACTTGTATTTGGAGAAATGATGGGGGAAACAGTTTTGTACTCCAAGCAAAATTTATTAGAAGTCTATTCAGGAAAAAAAACCACAGAGACCTTTTGCTTGTAGGAATTCAAAGTCAGTTACCTGAAAGCCAGGTATGAAAACCCTGCATTTTCTAAAATCAGATACAGAGTAGAAACAGTACTTTTTAAATATCACAGGCAACAGATATTTAAGTCCTCAATCATAAATGGCATCAAAGATAGTATTAATCTCACAGCAAAGCTGCATGCAGATCTAGTTTAAAATTGAAAGCCTTTGAATATAAAGCTTTTGCCATGAAATCTGCAATAATAAAGGTATGCTGCACAAAGATGTTTCTTTACCTTTGCCTTAATGACCTTTCTCAGTAATAAAGACATATGTACATTTAGATTTGGCTGGTAAACCATATTTTAATTAATAAAATTTTGCATAAAATGCTATCTTACAGAATTGCACTATCCAGATGTGCTTATGGTAAACAGAGCAAGAAAAGAAAAACGCATTGAAATGTTCTGTATGTGAAGAGGGCAAATAAGAAACTTAATCTTTTAAAAATCAACAACCGAATGGCTCTGTACAAAAAAGCAAAATTATATACAAAATGCTACAGAGACTACATACATTTTGATAATTTTGATCCTTTTCCCATGAGAAATGCAGCAGAAGCTTTTGCCATCTGTAAGGTGCCAAAGAAACCAAATCCAAATTTTTATTTTTATAAAGCCATAGTCATTATCATTCTGTGCCTTAATTTCATTTGCTATTTATGCTTACCTTTGCTTATGGAAAATGTATGTTTCAAACACTTGTTCATTCACACAAAAAACCCAAACCCAACACCTCTAAAATATATCAGTTTTAATACTTGTGACTTTTTTCTGTCTAAATTCCTAAAAAGAATGTGTAACTTGGGTTTCATTAACATACATACACATATATAGTGAAATAAATCAGTACATGATGCTTGTGAATATTTTTCAGGTGGCTATGTTAGGAAAGAAAAAAAAACCAAAACCCAACAACCCTTTGCACTAACACTGTTTATCTTCCTGCTTCTTTAATTTCCTGATAAGTAAAAACACTAACCTCTTATACTTCATGGTGCTTACTATTACAACATTTTGATTACAACCATTTAATATCAGACATCAATAGCAGGTTTTTATTGTCTATGCTTACAGCATTGTCTCGCTTTTCCTTAAATCCTCTTTCCCAAATCTTTCTGCCTTTTGTACTTCTTACCTTTTAACAGAAAAAAACTACATGTTCACTACAGTTTTTCATGAGGGAAAAGACAAAAGATTTAGCCAATACCATTGCACCCATTCAGAACACTTGCAGTTCTTCCATTTTTCACTTTGCTTCCTTGAGATTTTACAATCACTGTGCATTTGTTACAGCATACAAGTGCAGGCAAAAAAATCTATATTATAGTTTGTCATACATTGTAAACCAGTACAATAGGCAAACCCGTGACACAGCAATGTGGAAGCAACAAATGCTGCCAAGCTAATAAGAATGTGTAAAATCAATTTTTTAAAAAATAGTAAACAGCAACTTTCCTCTGTATTACATGCATGCTGAAAAAAATCCCACCAGACTTCATGGTAGTACCACAAATGTTCAAACCAGGAATAATTTCCCCCCTTTCCCCCTACCCCCCATGGCAACTCATCTGTGTACCTGTCATCAGGCTTCTCCTATTGTGTTTCACATGAAAAGACTTTAAAGCAGGGAGTATTTAAATGCTGAAATGATTCCTCTTGTCTCAGAAAAGCTTAGTTATTCACACTGTGGTCGTTGCTGTAATACTGCTGGAACGGTTTGGCGGGTGGGATGGGATGAGGATGAACTAGATGGCTTCTATTTGAGACTGCAAGCAAGAAAACAGAAGGCCAGCGTAGCATGTTTTCTAGCAGCTTTATGCAGATGTGTTGCAGAGATGCAGCATAAATAAGTAGAAAAAAAAATTTCACAGCCTCTTGACATAGTTTCCAGGGAAAGTACCAAAGAATTTGGTTCTTCTTGAGGTTCCTGAAATTAGAAGCAAAAGATGAAAGATGGGAATAATAACAGAAAATCACTATGTAAGCATGGCCTTAAAATTTTTATGTTTAATATTGCACAAACAGAATGATCTACAGTTCCTTATGCTATATAAGTTTATTTGTGAGGTTTAAGAATGTGTAACTGCAGGAAGGGAAATGCAAACAAAGAGGCATATTTGATTAAATTGTTAGGCCTGATTAAAAGCTGTGCTAAAATTCTTGGTACATAGAAATAATTTAATTTCAACAACATAAATTGTATATAATGTGAATTTTTTAAATATTAGGGGCTTGTCAGATGATTAAGTTAGCTGCTGTATGCATGAGGGTTTATGAAATGATTAAGCCACTGTATCTTGGCCTGGTTATGAAATCATCGTTTCTTCAGTAATACTTCGGTTTCACAAGTGGTCAGTGCTGTGGATGTGTTCATGTGAGAAGGTTTTAAGTTACCTGGCATTTATAAAGAGAGGCATAATACACAGTCCATTTGTGTCCCAAATGACAATGATGCTGTATAACAATCCAGAGGTGTGTGTCAATTTGTGTCTATCAATTTTAAAAGACAAAAGTGTAAAATCACCCGCTAGTTTCAGTGGATTTTGGTTGGGATTTCTCCTGATAAAGCCAGGTTCATGTTTATTACACTACATGCCAAAAATCAAGTTGATTAAAAGACACTACACAAAGAGGGCAGCACAGGTCAGGGGGAAAAAAAAAGAAAGCAGCCAAATTAAAACATACCCACAAACCATCCATCATCACATTTTTCCATCACATCAATGACATCTCCCTCTCTGAGCTCCAATTCATCTTCGTTCCTAGGAGTATAGTTATATAGAGCCTGAAACCTTAAATAGGACAAATGATGCATTTTAAAAAGAAGAAAGAGTTCCTTGCACTTTTGCTCAAGTAAAGGAGCTGGTTTAAACATTAAGAAGAAACACTTGCAAAGAGAGGGAAAAAGGACTTTTTTTTGCCTGGTGGACTTAAGGATTAGGAATTTATAGTAAATAAAACCTTCATTAGAAAGGCAGCTCATGAGACACTGAAGACTGGGTTTAAAGGCAAGCCTGATGGCTCCTCAACCAGTTGTTTCAAAAACAGATTTTTTTTTTTTTTTAAACATTTTCTTGTTATTTTATAGTTCAGTCACCAAACAGAGCACTTCTAAAGGAGAGTCTAGATGTGCTAGCCCTGTAACCTTCCATGATCAGCACCTAACACTGTGGTTCTACCTTTAAGCTCTGAGAAGCCAGCAGCAGCACAAGCAAGGGTACCCAGGACAACAGCTCTCATGCACTGTCATTGTGGATGGGGGACCTCCTTGGGCTCTTCAGTGGCTACACAGATAAGCCATCTATCCCTGAGAATGAGGGAGAGGCCTGAATCAAATCAGAGGACATATGGATGGAAACTCAAAGAATATTCAAACCCTGAGCCCTGCTTCTACACCTGGCCATAATTGCAGATTGCAGGATGTAAGGTGGATAAATGGTAAGAGGTGTGCAATTACTAAATGCATTGTATTCCAGTTCTTGCCAGCTTTTAATTAAAGTTTTTTCAATTGAAAGAATAAACTCTGACTAGGAGGAACTGAAGGTTCTTGGGCTGACAGTCCACAGGAAGATTGTTACACAATCCTGTGAGTCCTGCAGAGTCAGAATTGGCCTTTTTCCCTAAGCAACTGTGCCTCATAACTGACTGTCTAAAAAGAAGCAGGGTACCACTGCAGAAATTGGGAAAAGGATATAGTTTTCATTTTAGATTACTGAAGCAAAATGTAATTGTATCCATTCTTTGTTCTTAAAACAGTTCACTGAGTTTTTAACCTTAATACCATAATTACACTTTCCCCAGTAAAAACAAGATAGCTTGCTCATTGATGTGTTTATCATTCCAGCTAAGTTTTCATGACTTAAATAACATGTTTACTTTATTAAAAAATTCCTGCTCCTGAAAGCTCCGTTTGAAAATCCTATATACAGACTGGTGCGAGGTTTAGTTTAATGATGTCATCTTGAATAAACTACACTTATTTTTCACATTGCTGGTTTGGAGATTAGAAAATAAGAAAATGTTCCAAGAAAAAAAAAGAAAAAATTAATTTAATTTCTCATCACTGGCAGTCATCTTCCCAAGCCACAAAAGTCTCTTTTTATATTTTAATTACACTAACAAAATGGAAAGAGACTGGTTGTTTAAGCAATTACCTTTAGTAATTTATGTAGCAGGAGTAAGAGCAATCTGTGCAATAAACTAAGTGGCAATAATATTTTCTGTTATGCTTATCATCATTCCAGGAAAGCAGAGCTATGGTGATATTCCAAAAAATAATTCAATGCAGCTTCCAAGGGGACAGGATTTGCAGATGTAATGTGTCATCAATAGGATTCAAGCCAATTACTCAAGTACAGTAACAAGAACTTCCCAATGAGCACTCTTTGTACTTGAGAAATTGAATTTTAGTAATTTCTAGATAATCCATTTAAAAAACTTCTTTGTAGTAATTTCATTCTCTCTATGCTAATCTAAGACTTTTGTCAGTATGAAAACTCTACTAGCATTTACAATACTGACAGAAAACATATTCAAGAGAAAGAATGGTTAGTTAGCAATTTAAATATATTTCTATTTTTCATTTTATGAATCAGTAACTTTAGTCATGAACTACTTATACTATCTTGAAAAAAATTAATGAGACAATTATTGATTTCAAAACTGAGTTAAGTGCTCCAGTACGCTCAACAATACCAACAGGAAGTTTTGGTTTTAAAGAGATTAAATATCCAAATCTAATTGTATCTGTAGTATAGCTATTTGGTAACATTTTAACCTCTCTTTTCCTTCTACAACTGACTAATGAAAACTTAAAAATATTTTTAGACAATAAACCCTAGGTACATTTTATGAAAAATGCTATAATAGGGCATATGCTGAAGTGCTCTGATGCTAAAGGAAGATTGGCAACTGGTTTCAGTGATCACTGAAGTAGGGCCTGGTGTCAAGACTGGGGAGGGTGGCGAATCTCAAGTCAATCTTGCACTGAACTTGCATTTTAACAGTCAGTATTGAAATATTCCAAGTACTTTAAATGTTTGTCAAAATAAGACTTGAGTTCTGCAGTTTTCAGAAAAGCTTTCCTTGTATCTCATATTTGAATTGCACTTGTAAATCACACCAAAATGTGTGAGCCTGTGTTCCTGTGATCAACATTATCAAGTTACTTGTTTTCTCTCTATTCAAATCCAGAACTGTTTCTGGATAAAACAGTAAAGCAGATCAATTGAATCAATGCTGAATCTGTTATTGTCATTTTGCTGAGATGTAAAAATGGAGAGAATAAAAAAAAGTCAAAATCTCTTCAGTAAGTACAGACAATGAAGAACTGTTAAGTTGCCATGTCTGGCTGCACTGAATGTAAAATTAAACAAATAAGGCTTTGCCCTCTGGGACTTTCTTGGCTATCTTCCTACATCATGCAGTTATCTATAAATCTGTGAAATCACTTCATAATTGTACTTGGAAAGTTAAAAAATTATCTGATGATGTGCTGGCTGTTACTTAAACTTTAGGTTTTGGTTTAGTAGACAAGAATTATACTTACGGTTCCCCCCCACTGTGTATATTTTCATGAGAAAGCACAGGGCGCTGTGGCTGAAATGAAATGATTTGAAATGTAATAAAGACTTGCAGTTTAAGGTCCAAATAATTGGATAGGGGTGTAACACATAGTTGCTCAAGAGTTCATATTCTACCTTGTGTAAAACCATGGCCCATTCTGCCCCCCTTCCAACTCACAATAAATTCTTAAGAGACAAGACAAACAACTGAATCTTGGTACATTTAAAGATCTGATTTTTGGAGATCATAATAAAAACTAAACAAAACTGTGAACTTCAGCAACTTCTATTTATAGAATAGTACAAAGCTGGAATAGAATCCTGCTGCCTCTTCACTGTGAAACAGAAATAATATTAGAAAAATCAGATGCAACTGATGAACATCATACATTCTTTGGGTAAAGTATATTTTTAGATAAGCAGAAATAAAATCTCCTATACATAATGGCAGAATCTAAAATATTCACAGACGAACAACATACCAATTTACATTACACACACAGAGTACTAACTTGGCAGGCGTAACATGCTATGCTTTAACTAATTCTGTTTCATCTCAAGCCATGCAGGCTGCTGGGAGGCAAAGAACAGGAAAAATTTTTGGAAGAATACATTAAATTGTGTGAATATAACAATTAACACTTCAACAGAAAAAAGTAGTCTGTATTTCCAGTGCAAAGCTTTTTGAAAGGAACTGCGTTCCTTCTTAATGGAGCATTAGTGAGCAATAATATTCAATACATCTGGATGTGATGGAAATCAAAAATACTAATCTACAGAAACCATATCCTGCTTAGAAAGTCATTGACCTATACTGATTAGAATCTGGCTGGGGCCAGAAAGTGCAAGAGCAGCTGCTTGGGAAAGCTCTTGATATGAGCAGGGATCATATTCTTTGTTGACTGAGGATGCCCTCTGGTCATGCTGTAGAGACAAGTCTGGGAACCATATCTGTTTTGGGAGTGTGGATATCAAACACTGCTCATAGCACTTTCTTTCATGAATTGAGTAAACTGCAACCTGATCTCTAAGCCATGGAATTTGTCTTATTGCTCCATGGTTCTCTCTTGGTTTGAGTATTCCAGTAACTCTTTTATCACTGTTGAAGATGATATAGTCTTCCAAGAGAGAAGGCAGCAGTAAACCACAAGCTGATGGCAAAAATTAAATGAAAAAACACAGGATGTAGTTTGTCAGGTTTCTTCCCCCCTCTTTTCCCTCAGCATCTCCAGATGAAATTAGTTATATTTCTTTTCAGCAGTTTCTATGAATATGTGCAGAAAATACTGTGAACAGTCTGTACTTTACAGTCTATAGAATATAACTTTTAAAAGATGCCTAAATATACAGGCAGGTAGATCACGGATTTTTTTAAAAAAAATCATATTATTGAATTCTAGGTGAGAAAGAGATTTTCAAAGTAAAAAAAAAAAATATTTTTTTTTATACTCTTTACTGTCTTCTCTCTCTCACTTAACTCTCCTCTGCCAGTGTACAAGAAAGATGGATAATTTTTACTGAAGAATAAACAGTAAAGATTGCAAATTAAACTGTTCTCAGTAAACCTTTTTTTTCCTTCAATTGCTGGCTTGTCAAGCAGTAGGAGAATAGTCAGAATGCTTTGTATTTGGACTGGAATCTGACCTGATTTGCTGCTAATCTTTCATCAGGTCTGTAACTGAGCTGAATGCCAAAAATAGTCAGACATGCAAAAGAACTCAAGAGAGGTTAAGGACTTCTCCTATAAACAATGGAAGTAAAAGTTCTAAACAATGCTACAAATGATTTAATGCTTTGAACATAATACCAAGCCAGGAAGAAACTGGGTAGGTTGTTATTACCTTTTTTTTTTTGCATATGCTTCATAAAAGGTTCTATTGCTAATTAACTACTATAGAAATAAATAAGAATCAAGGTGACTCATGATTTTCAACTGTATGTTATTGCCACAGAGAAAACAGTCTTGTGACAAAATTAAAATCTTGGAGAAACAGGGTGAAGTAATTGCTGCTATGTCTGAACAGGGGGACCTTGGCACGCGCTCTTTGTTTGGATGCATTCCACAATAACACCCCAGCTGACATCCAGAAGCTTTCTCCCTGTTTTCTTTCCCTAAGCTCTCATTCCCACATGCAGTTGCATTGTCTAGACAGGGGACTGTTACAAAGATTCCTAGTTTTCTACTGCACCTCACTTTACTAGACTATCCTAATATTGCAGGACCTAATCCCAAAAATATTAAGGAGTGTGAAATCAAGTCAATGGTCCCAGTTGTATGCCTGATTTTCATGCATGATTGATACTGCACTTGCATATAAAAGTTCTGTAGAGTCCTGAACATGCAAATTAGGTGCACGATATATGCTCTTGTACTTTAGGAATTAAAATCATAAGTACACTACACATTGACCAATACACTCCTCTTAATATATGGGTTACATGTCATTCATTTGTAGCAATGTGCAAAATTAAAATAGGGCTTAATTCCTTTTTTACAGCTCTCATTCCTAGTTGGACTTTTTGTGAGATGCTGTTTGCTACTACAAGAATCCTGGCCTTCCTAGGATTGAACTGTCTTTCTTCAGTAATGAAGAAAGCACTGTCCCCTCAATACCTGGAGGCAGAGGCCTGCCAAAAAGCTAGGACTTTTAGTTACACAAACCTGCATATTTTATTCAAATTTTAAAAAGGGAGACACCAGAAAGATGATCACCTAAAATCAGCAGCAACAGCATGGAAAACAATTCATCCCATTACTATTTCTAAGACCTAAATGTTAAGAAACCAATGCAAAGGACAGTTAAATGCTAAACTGAAAGTAAAACATATGCCATAAATTCCCATTCTCATATTTGTTTAGGTTGAGGGTGGGCTTTTTGTGTTCGTTTGTTGTTTTTTTTTTCCCCTTTTTCATAATGTAGATTACCTTTCTGAGCAAAATCCATGCAAATTCTAAATAACCTTTCTGGCTAGATGAAAATATTAGAGTTGTGTTACAGTTACGTTACAGATAAGAAGTGAAAGATTAGAGTATTGAAATCTGGAATGCTTAGATAAAGAGAACAGTGTTGAGTGAAAAAAATATAGCAGGTGCAAAACATTTTGAAAATAAGGACATGGATTCAAAACTAGAAATTCAGCCTGGATGCATGCTAAAGCCTGGATACATGCAACGGAGAACAAATTTTTGACTCTTAGAAGCTGTAATTTAATAAACTAAAAATGCTTTGAAAGAGAGGAGTAATTTTAATACTATATACTAACAATATTATTATACTATTTATACTAACTGTAAAGAACCAGACTAAATATAAGCACCCTGTAGCACTGGAAATACCATGCAGTACTGCAGAGATACAGTACACTAACAGATTTATATAAAAAAGTTCAGGCACACACAGACCCATTGCCTTTACTCAGTCATAGCACAGAAACACAGCAGAAAGAAAACACAGCATACTGATAGTATTGAGACACTTGGGTAAAAGCAAAATACTGAAAGACTAGACACTGAGCTCCTTGTCCATGGAAAAGCTGTTATTGCACACTGGGCATCCAGTACCATACCCTGTGTGAATAGCTGTGACCTCTGACAGGAGAGCTGCAGGATCTCGTAGTCATCACTGGGCTACGAGGAGGTTTACCCATAACAAATATCTCCCTCTTTAAATTAGCCTAGAAGAACCACAAAAACTTTGTCAAGTGAGAGTTTAAGAATGAAGCATTATGGGATTTTTGTTGCTTCATTCATACATGCAAATTAGACATGCTTTTCCTGATAACAAAAACCAACTGTTACAGGTAGAAGGAAGGGTACTATTAGTGTACAGTATTTTCATTGCTTTCACTGTATCTTTTTTTCCCAAGTGTTTCCTGGTCTGGCACATGCCCTTACTTGTTACAATTAAAAGATTAAAAGATGAATAACATACAGCATATGCAGTTGGAACAGTTATTGCATGTGTACCCCCTGAAGTAGCTCAGATAATAACACAGAAAAGCTCAACAGCACTGAGCAGAAATGCTACCTAAGAAATACCAATGGCAAACATAATCCCTTGCTGTTAAACAGAATATGCCACTTGGATTTGCATTTAGAAAGCAAGTAAATGCTTGGTGGAGAGTACTTCATGAAAATATCCTCATTTTGTTAGCATCACTACAAATCAGATTCATGTTTGTCAGAATTCAATTCTTAAGGGGTTTGTGTGCAGCGAATGTGAAATCTCATGAACAGGTGGGAGCTGTGGGGGAATGTGAGGAGAATGGAGTGCTATATTGGAAACCTTTTCTTAGGTATTTGTGACTGTCAGTAGAATGTGACTAAACAAAAAAAACAGCCCCCTCTTAGGAGGAGAGGGGTGAAGAAGAACAACAAAAAAAGATACCAAGAGCGGCCAAGGAGGCAGAAAAATGTCAGCATTTCAGCACATGTTGGGATGTGTCTTCAGACTTCTTTTGGAAGACACATCCCTCCCACCAACAAAGTGCAAAGTGACACTTCCCACCCATAGCTCCTTGTATTCCATTTAGTTTTAAGCCATATATATATATATATATGTACACACATGTATGCATTTTTAAATTGACAAAAGTTATTGAAGCATCAATATACAGTTTCAAGGATCTATATTCCTTCTATTTATTTTCAGCCCAGATTAACACACCTTGCTCAAATAAGGGCAAAGACTATACAGGTCACCAAAAAAAGAGTTTCAGTATAGATTAGGAATATTTTTCTGGTTAGGCTAAGCAAAAGCACCAAAAACACTCTACGAACTGCTAAGTTATTGAAAGTTGTAGAAGCAAGTGCAGTACTCTGTTTTACCCCTTCTTTGAGGTGGAACAAACCTAAGCTCATGATAGATTCATGTCCTGGAAAGAAGTCTGTTCCCTACTTCAGAAAAAAAACAACAGATTCTTTAAGTCCATTATGACTGTGTTTTCTGTGAATGCACATTGTAAAATGGGGTAGCTCTTAAGGAAAAAAAAAACCAGAAATGGTAGGGTATTTATGACTGATGTAATGATGCAGTGATCACTTTCCTAGGATAGTTCCTCTTTACATGACTTTTTCTCCTTTTCACGAGCAGATGAATCTTCTGGAAGTCAGCACTGCAAATTAACTTTGTCTTCCTAGAGGAAGTTTTTATTTTTCTGCCACAGAGCTTCAATGCTGACACAAACTGTAGTCCTGAAGAGGAAATAATCTTTGTCTAGTCCTCTGACTAACACAATCGGTATTTAGAACATGGCCCTCTGCAGTGGTGCTTTCCTGTGAAATTTATGACTTTTCTCCCAGGCTTTGGATTAAAATAGAAAGCAGAAACACAAATGTTATCTAGTTTCTGCATACTTGAATATAGTTCTATTTCCATCAATTAACTAAGTTACATTGGCTGTCCTGGTATGGATCTGAAAATGAGTTGAAGGCTTTCTGCTTTCCTATCATTGGTATCTCCTTAAACCATTTAATTGTATCATAATGGTTATAGTTTTACCTTGTGTTTCATTTGAAAAAGGCCTATCAATCCTCCAATTCCTAGGTTATTTAATATTAGTAGAGAAAGCAATACATCTGCGAAGATCAAACTCAGTGTTAGCCTTGCAGTTATTTAATAGACACAAAGATTTACAACAGTCCATATTCAAGAGGTGCAGTTACCTTTAACTGTAGTGAGTCTTTCTCCTGCTGATGTAAGGGTTTAGAGAGGAGAGGAGGTGAGAGGGAAGCAGTAGACAGGGATATTGTAGGAACCGAGTGGGAAGTAGGTGCCTTGGCAGAGGGAAATGGAAGAGTAAAAGAAAGATGGAAAAGAGGATCAGTCTCCTGATGTTCCAGCACAAAGCAGAGCTGGCTTAAATTTTTAAGAAATATGAGAAGTAGCTGTGCTATAAAACTGTGTTATAAAATCAGCTGAAGGATGTCAAATGCTCAGTAAGGGGACATGTAACTAACCTGAACAACCTCAAATCTCATGCTAATCTTTTTATTAGTCATCTACTTTTCTGGAAGAAATTTCTTGCCTCAGAAAGCATTAAAAAGTTGCCATTTGTGGCCATGGATTTCACCTCTGTTTTTAAGTTTTTCTCCTGTGTTTTCAGGTCATTTAAGGGTAGAGGTAGACTGCAAAATGTAATTAAATAGTTTAACATTTGGCTTAAAACACATTGTCCTAAGCACCTGACTTGCATGCTGACAGTGAAAGCACCTGAATAGTCTGTTGAAGTAAGTGCTGGACAAAAAAAAAGATCTATGCTGGAAACCACACAAGCTGTATAGCTGTATTGTGGCATTTAATGGCCAGCACACATTTGGGATAGTTCAGTGATGTACTGTCCCAAAGAGGAACTGGGGAGGGCTTCAGGAGGAAGCATTTGTCTAACTGCCAAACATAACCTGATCTGTTACTGTTAGTCAGATCCTCATAACAGAGCCTTCTATAAGTACATCAGCTGCTGAACTGACACATGCGAAGCACAAACCGCACAGTCTCTGCAGGAGGCACATGTCCCTCCCTCTGGAGGCTGTTGACAGCATCTGCTTGCTGGGGCCTCTCTCAAAAGGGGCAGTAAGCAACGGGCTAGTGAGGGAAATGGTTCACTGGTATTTCACATCAGAAACTCCTCGTCAAACAAGGACAGGGGGAAAAGAATAATTGATAGATCATAGACTTTACAGTGGTGCAAATGCCTGCTTCTGAGAAGGGGCTGTCCCCTAATGCTGACAATTTTTAATCATAGAATCATAGAATGGTTTGGGTGGGAAGGGACCTTAAAGATCATCTAGTCTCTGCCATGGGCAGGGACACCTTTCTGCTTAAACCAGCTTGCTCTAAATGCACTTATGTAAAATGTGCCTGTGCAAAATACAAACATGTAAATTAAATACAAGGCAGAGTATAATTATACTAAATTATCTGAACATAGAAGTCAGGGTTGTCAGAAATTAAAATACCTTATCAATATCTGGTGAAGTATATCCTTCATAACAATCCACAGGATCTTCTCCACTTGCTATTGGGAATTCTAAATAGTCATTTACCAGATCCTCATCTATATACAGTCTAGTCAGTTCTTCTGTTGTGTCTTGTGTTTCTTCAGAGAAATCTGATTCTTGAAGTTCTGACTGATCCCCTCTATTAAGTGACAGGTCTGCAGTACAGATTTCCTCTTCATTTTCAGCACTTGCAGCTAGCACACTGGACAAGGAACCTTCTTCATATGGTGAAGGGATATTATGGATAGCACCACGTTCACCTTCTCCTGTAGTATCTGACAAATCTCTAGATTCTTCAATAACTAAAGGGTCAATTATGTCTTCTAAGTTTTTATCTTTTCCTAACTTGGTATTTTTGCTGACATGCTTATATGCTTTGTCATGAGATGAGCTGGCTGAAGATGAGACAGAGGGAGATACAAGAAAGGACAGAGGAAGAGCTGTAGGAAAGCTGAGAAACACCTCTGTATTTGGCACAAAGTGACCATCCTTAACATGGTGAATGCTGTTATCTGGGGAGATTGCAACAGTTTGGGAGGCTGCTAATGCCAAAGAATTGAGTTCTTCTAAGTCACAAAGAAAACTGTCTGGAACTGATGGAGGAGTTAAGCTGCGCATGCCTGAAGGTGAAAGCCCAACAGTCCTTGAGAACAAGTCACTAGAGTCAGCCTGGAGAATCTTTTGATCAGTGTGTGACCAAGACGAGGGAGGTTGTCTGGAAAGTGGGGTCAGTGCTTGGGAAGACAACTTCAGAAAGAAAAACATGGGGATTGAGATAGATAAGCATGACAGAGAATTAGGATATGAGTAAACAGGAAAAGAAAAATGTCTGTGCCATCATCTGGATTACAGGGTACAATTTCAGTGACCATGGGTGTCTGAAATCACTACTACATGAATCAGAACAGCGGGAAAGACATTTGAAACATGAAACTATCAGGTTCTGGCTTAGGGCATAAATGTCAAACATTAAGACAGATTTGAATCATTACATTCGTGAAGGCAACTGCATTTGATCTGCTAAAGTTATGTTACTTATGGTGCTCTGTTAGTGAGCTTGTCAAAGGTTATTAAATCATACAGTTAATATTAATGAAAATTTCCCAAACCATTACTCTTATTTTGAGAATAGCATTTTCAGAAGTACACTTCAGGTGTCATTAAATACTTCTTTCCAAGTATAACAACTGAGGTAATTTCTAATTATTAAAATGAAATATTTCTACTTTTTCTTAGTAGTTCTAAGTAAATGTTTAAGAAACATCTTTAATACATTGCATACTTTTATTAAGGCATGAGCAGCTACAGAATGAATGTGTTTTTCAAAATTAACCCTATTCATTCCAAATGACGTCAACATTTGTGAAAGGTACATTCCGGTCAAACTAGACATAGGCAGTCAACAATGCTTTTAAAATAGTGACAGCACAGTACACAGCAGTATGCTTTGAGTACCATTACACAATATTGATTGAAGTATCCTTCTGGTAAAAGAAACGTCCTTTTCTAAGAATGAGAGACTGGTGAGTCATACGTACACAGCATCAGTAGATATCCATTGCTTCAGTAAATACTGAAAATGCATTTTTGTTACTATTAATCCTCAAAATTAAAACTAAGCAAAAATATTTTGATTTTATCATTACAGCTATCCAGAATGATTAGATGTACACCTCTAAGTTATCTGGACTACTACCAACTTTAATTATTAAGGTACTAGAGAAAAATATTTTCAGAAGTCTACATTAATATTGCAGAATAGGGAGGTTAGTTTACTTACCTTCTGCTTGAGTTTTCTTGAGACAAACAGCTTTTTTGTTAGACTTAGACAAACCTTTGTTACACAGTCTTCTGTACCAAAGTAAACAGTACAGACTGATACAATCTGCTAAAGCAGAGCTAGGCTCTTACAGAGATACTCAGTCTCTTTCCCTCATCATTCCTCTTAAGCAAGGGCCCCTAACCTGTGGTTTTAAGGTTAATAATACTGCTGAGGACACCACCATTTTTACTTTCCCGTAGCAATAAGCTGCACTAGATCTAAAGAAATAGATAGATTAGGCCAAGTTACAGAGAGAAAAACTTGCTCACAACTTGTATTGCTTATTTATTTTATTGCCATTAGGCCAGAGAAGTTTAGTGCGATTTTTCTAGCAACAAGGAGCGATAAGTGGTAAGAAACTCCAGAGGAATAGGGAAAGTGGTAACAGAAAGTGTGGTAAATTCTAGAACATCTTCTTCATGGTATTGCCATTTCTGAGTACAGCTGAATCCAGAAAAAAGGTGTCTGTTTAAGAGTCTCAGTGGAAGTTGCCTTTGTTTTTTTTTAACCTGATTATTGCAGAAGTATCCTATGTTAAAAAGAAGGCTTCTACCAATTCCCTTCCCCCATGAACTGATTTAGAAATAACTAACTTAATAATAGTGGCAGGATAGTTTTGTAATATAGATGTAAATGCTCTGAAGCATCACCTGTGCTCAACAAGGGCCATTGAGCTTTAGCAGGATACCTGAGACAGAAGCCTGTTTCATACAAAACTGGGAGAGGCATCTCTGGAATATGAAGCACTTAAGCTGCCTCATAGTCTTGACTTGTCTTCAGGACCCTCTGGATTCCTGTAACAATAAGGGGCCCTAGCTTATGAATACCTCAGTTGGCAGCTACAGAATTTGATGTTACCTGAACAGTTTTGTGGGAATAGAAGAGATAGGATCTCATTCTCTGTTGTGACACATTCTGGAAAACCAGACAAGACCTGTTCTAGCATCTGTCCCAAGCCAACCAATATGTAGTAATAAGAAATATTTTCAGAAGATCCTGTTGCCTGTAAATGACATATTTTGGTAGCTTTTTACAACCCCAAGGGAGTAAGTAAATGTGGACCTTATTTCAAAGTTAAAGCATGCGGATGACCACCAAGTATGGAAGTAGATTGTAGTAGAAAAGGAGACAAAACCAAAGATGGATTAATAGCAGGATAAAGAAGTTTATAATTTATAACAAAACCCACTGCCCATGCTGAAGAGATAAGCAACAAAGGTAAAGAGGAAGATCTAGGCAGTTTCCATCTTGAGTGTTCAAAATAACTGAAAACATGTTAATTCTAAGCATGGTTTGTATGCAGAAACTTCCTTAGTTTCTATCACTGCCAAAAAATGTTATGTTCCCCACACAGGTGAGTGCAAAGCCTCACAAGTGAATGATAAACCAGAACACAGGAATCTTTCTGCAGCATCCTGTAGTATGATTTGTGATGGAACCTACAATACACATTTGCTGTGGAAAATATACAACCATAAAGGTCTGAATCCAAGTTCATTGACAATGTGATGACAATCTACTCATTCCTAAATGAAACAATACTGTCAGTTTGTACCACTCCAAAGAATGTACCAACAGCCTCCTCCTCGGCTGATTAGCAATAGGAGGAAGGTTTTGGTACAGAATCACTGGCTGTTCTCCTTTGCTTCAAAAGGTAGAGAACTGGTCTTGGTAAGCTGTGTCCTGCATGCTTATGGAACTGTAGGCTTTCAGGACAGCTGTGTTATGGGAATGTCTTCACACTTTACTGTTAGAAGTCTGCTAGGTATACCCTTAATGCTCAAAATCTTGCTTAGATTCCCAAATAAATTTTTCTGTTGACTTGACTTTTCTGCCCAAATTTGGCCTGTCTCTAGTAAAAATAACGTAATAGCCAATGAAGAAAAGAGCATAAATCCTGGCAGAATGTGAGACACACTTGTCTATAAAAAATAATTTATTAATAACATAGTAATGCAATTCTACCTGTGCAAGAAAAAAAAATGTTGTGTACTTAATGCCTAAGTTATGTATAACACTAACAAAAAAATTACAAGTCCTTCTAAACCCACTCTAGGGGTTGCAGCTAACATCAGAAAATCCTTACCTTAGTTGAACTTAAATGATGTATTCTGTCACTAGAATAACTTTGTGGTATTGGAGGGTCAGGATAGTCATCAACATTTTTTGATGGATTCTTTTTGATGACTTCTACATAGGAAACAGGGAAGATGCCTTGTTTGTTGGTTCCTGGTATTTTACCTTCATACCAGTTTTGATCAACTCGCTTAAGAAGAATTACTCTGTCTCCCTGAAATGCATTATGAAATAAGTTATCAGCACATACATTGAAAGTTAATTTTGTACATAACAGGTATTATTTTAATGCATAATAGTATCTTCTCTACAGTGCTGTTTCCCATCAGTGTTGAGCATCATCTCCATTTTCTCATTTTTCGTCCCATTAATAACAGCCGTATATAAAACTACCATTCCAGTAAAATGAGGGGTTAGGCATGGACTGAAAATGTTGTTATTTTATCTGAGGGGAATCTCATGTAGTCCCTTCCTTTTGCTTGGGAGATTAACATTAATGGTTTTCTTTGGAACATAACCTGTTTTAGTTGTTGGCCAAACTACTAGGTAATGCTCCAACTATAGTATGCAACAGGGATTGCTATGCCCATTTTTTCTGAACTCCTTAAAAAAAAGAAAAAAAAAAAATGGGGCAGAACTTCCCAGTGAATGAGAAGTACACACTACTTACAACTTAATATTAAGCATTTAATATCTGCAATAATAAAGTTTCTCCACAGTATTAATATTCCAGTGTCTAAAAAACTTTAGAAATTAAACAATTATTTTCCTTATGTTCAATCTGGCATAGCCACCAGGATATACATAGGAAAGATAATAGAACATTATAAACAGAGAACTGTTATTAAATAAAATATTTACATTCACAAAAATATCTCTGAGGCTTTTTTTTGGTATCTTTTATCTTCTGTAATTTTCTATTTATTCTGCAGCTACTCTGCTACAGTCCCAATTAAAAGCACAACACATTTACAGTATTTTCAATATTTGCAGTACTTGGTAGCTGAGACAGACTACAAACTATCAAGTTATTAATGTTAGAATTTCCTACCATGGCAGTGCTTTGGGCATTGCAAATCTCTAGTGCAGAGTGCACAAAGCACAGTATTTACCTATATATTGATTCTGTGTAGCAGGAGACATTATAATGGTATTATGATGGAAGATAGCTCTCAACTGTACCTTTCTAAGTGATAACTCCACATTTGTGTCTGCGCTGAAATTATATTTGGCAACAGCTTCCCCAATCTCACCAATCTGTGCAGGGGGAGGTGGCCTGGCAGGCTGTGCTTTTTCAGGGGGAGAAAGTTTCTAAGGAAAAAGAAAAACCCAGATTTTCATCATACTCATGTGGTTTGTGGACCTATTACCCAAATTAATTAAAGGAATTAAAACAAAGAACAAACCTCAACATAAGAAATTGGGAATATTCCAACTCTTCCATGGTGCTCACCCTCATACCAGTTTTGATCAATTTTCCTGAGGATATAGACAGTATCTCCTTTCTTAAAGGACAGCTCTCTGTAACAAATTTATTTATATCAGATGTTTATAGCTTTACATTTAACTCTTCTCCCTGCATGGTTCCTGAGATCATTACAGTTCGGAACTGAAACAGAATGTAACAACTACACATTTGAAGAAAGAGTGTCACAGCTGTGGTACATTTACCAGTTATCATACCATATAAAATCAAATGACTTGCATTTATGAATCCCATGTAGTATGTATAGGTTACAAAGGCCTGTTTTACATTGTGATTCCATGGATGTATTGCTAGTTACCACCAGACCACTTCTTATGATGTCTGCATGCAAATATGATGTCTTTTGGATCACCTGTTTAGGTACTGATTTTATGACAGGCATCAGAGAGGTACTTGGTGTGTTCTTTATGAATACAGTAGGGAAAGCAGAGTGTATTCCACATCTACATGGCCTGTCAGTACCTTTCTGCAGCATAACAGCTTGGTGTGCTTCTGGTCTACACATTTTTTTTTCATAACAGCTATTCAGAAGCATGAAGAATGCAGGATTATGTTCTCACCATTTCTTGATACTCAGAGACTGTGATATGTTAAATGTTAGATACCAAAAAAGGGACTTTTTAAAATCATTAAGAATATTTTCATATCTTGGCTTGGGAGATCTTTGCTGTATCATCCATTTGGTTTTTGAAGAGCTAATGTGCTGCTCTGGTAATTTCAGCTGTGAGTTTTGGCCCAAAAAAGCTAATGTAATTCTAGTGTCAATGTTTGGTCATATCTAAAGATGGTTTAAATGATCATTGGAACAACAGCAGAAAAGACTTGTAGACATTCTGCTTTGACTCTCTCATATCCTCTATCAGTGGTTCCCAATCTTTTGTTATGGACCACTGCTTTTTGTGTTGTATGTGTCTTATCACATCCTGCAGAAAGCCTGTGCATGTTAAGACAGACAAGAAGAGGCTGAAGCATTATACAGACTAGACTTCTGATAAACTCATTATCTATGACAGTAGTTTAAGCAATTTACCCTCTGTCACCTAAATGTAATTCCCAACAAAGAGCATTCAGTGTATGTCCCTCACAACCTGTGCTCTAGAAGGCTGAAGATGCACAGCTATTGATGTGCTCAAACAGATACAATTAAGAATATAGTAATTTAAGATAATTTTATTAAAAAGTAACTTCTCACACAGTTTGTTAATGCAGGGACTACTGTGACAGCAAGCAGAGTTCTTGTGTACATGGAATTTGCTGTTGAAACTGGCTTGAACATCATTTAGGTGGTAAAAAGAGTTTGCTTGAATTGCGAATTCTTAAATGAACAAACATCTAGTACTTACTTAGAAGTTTGAGCCTTAAAGTCATATACAGCTCTAGCTGGCAGTTTCTGAAAAACAGGCAAAGTGATTAATATATTCAGGTAGTATTACTATATGATAAATGTGTTTCAATTTTTAAAAGGTGACCAAGATCCAAAAAGAAAAGGATGACCTTTACAGTGGTTCTTGAAGAAATATTTAATACAATTAAATATATGTATTTATTTTTTTAAGCAGTTAGGTGTTTGGGACTTACTGTTCTAAAACCAGAAAGAGCTAAATTCTAATGCAGACTACTTTGCAATTTGAAGTTTAAGAGAAGTACCAAGCTAAGTAAAAAAGTTAACTGTGTCAATGTGACTTGCAGGCAACTAGATCTCTAGGTACAACATAAATACACATTAATATTCTGTTGTATTTAATTACTTTAAATTAAATTAAATTTATTACAAAAATTAATATTCTGTAGTATTTTAGGTGCCTTTTATGTTAAACTTGTTATCTGTAGGCTAATTTCAATTGCAGATGATGCATTACATTTATATATATATGTGTGTATATATACTCTGACAGCTGGAAATGATTGGAATATTTTTAATTTCTGTAATTACATTCATAGTTTTAAGAAAGCACAGGACTGGAGGTGATCTGAATCATCTGTGCAGCTCTCTTGCTATCATAGGCAATGACATTATAACATTTCTTTCATACATTTATCAAGTTCTGTCACCAAGTACATATAAGCTCAATATTGTTTCAAAAAAAGCCCCTGTAAAACAGCCCTAACTTTCCTCACCTGCATGGATGACACATTTTCACTGTTTTTGTAGCTGTAATGAGAATATAAACTGTGATCTGACCCAACAGCTTCACTCATGGACTGTCTGCCTCTGACAAGTAGCCAGATACTTCGAAGGAAGTGATAAACAGAACCACATGAGGGCATTTCTTCAAAGTGATTTAGTCTTTCTCTGCAAGTACTCATACAGATAAGATTGTCCCATGCTAAAATATGCCTCTCTAGGATGTACTGGTGAATAGAATGAGCTGATTATGCTATTTATGAGATACTACTTGTCATGAAGTAAAGGTGCACATCTTTTTATGACAGGATTGTCATAAATATGACAGAAATGGACACTTAAAAATTTTGCATTTTACCTTTATTCCAGGCCATGTGTTCATGACTTGATTCTCTCCCTTCTTGTCATTTTAAGACTAGCAAATCTAGCACACCTACAGAATTGTCTTCACTATAATAAGAAGTCACTGAAGTTATTATAGGGATCATGTCAACTTGAATTTTGCAATACTAATAAAATTTTTCATTACAGATCTCTTTCAAATAAGATAGCCTAAATTTAAAAGCATTTTTCTGTTCCTTGCTGTTATTAAAAATGGTCTTTTAGGCAGGGGGGATATTCATATCAACACATGCTTCATATCAACTGTAGCTAAGCCCTATTCAGTCTTTCCTGATTTTGATACAGCTGGTATTGTAACTACCAAAGCAAATAGCAGAAAAAGTGGATATTAAAAGAAGAGGGGAGCTGCTTAAATACAAAATACTTTGAAATGTACAAAACATACTGGAAACAGAGATGCATTTCCTCTTTCATATTTTTAAAACTTTTAAAGTGATCTTAAAAATGGCTTGTAATTTAAGTATTTTATGTATTTTCAAACTTAAAGATGACTTTCCATGTCACAAGATTCTTCAAAAGAAGCACACAACATGGCTCCTAGAATTTTTTAGCTTGTATTTTGTAATGAGAAGTCTTTTGTAAAAAAATCAGACTTAATCTAATTACAACAATAAAAGCATTTCAGTGGGGTATAAATGGATCTGAATTCAGTTCTAACCATACCACCATTTATCAAAGTATATATAGCCAAGAACAAAATCTTATATATTAGCAATTAAAATACAGTAATAATTTATGCTGTTTGGAGAGCATTTATAATTCTAGATCTATAAGCATTCTTAAGATACAGAATGATATAGTTTATTTTCCAATATATACTTCTCAGTGATGCTTTGTGTTACTTTAAAGCTGGTATACCTGCTTCCATTTCCTCTTCCAAAGCATGACTACAAGCAATCAGTATCTAATTACACCCACCAACTGCTACAGATGTTAGAAATTGCTCTTAGGATAACTGGTTTTGTCTAATCCACTAACAGCAGTGGTTTGCTTTCCAAACAGAAATAATGGTGAAATATAGATGTTTTGTATCAGTTCTGAAACTACCAAGGCAGTTTGTGTAATACTTTGTATTTGTATACATAAAGTATTTGTGTAATACTTTGGGTTTCTAAAAAGCCTTTCCCCAGTCACATCTGTTATTTTTCTCTGTTCCAAACACACTCCAATCAGCTGTGACAGAGGTGATCAATAAATAATGAATTTATGTCAATATCTATTTAATAATAAACAGAAGAATACAGTTTATCTTGATAAACTGTAAAGCTTGATAAAGCTTGATATTTGAATTTATTGAAGTACCAATCTTCTTAATGAAAAAGGAAGATGCTGTTCCTTTTGTCTGCATTATTATAATTTCTTAAAACCAACACAAATCTTGTCTTAAATATGTTACCAACTTTCCATATGGATATTGCTGCATTATTTATTATTGTATCACTACCTCTTTGTCTGTAGTTCCTCTTCTCTCCCTTGGAGTACATCTTCCCACATCAGTGAAAGCAGAAGAATAGCTTCCAGGAGACTCCTGGTCTACTGAAAACAGAAATTATGTGAAACTATGATAAACAAACCCATTCAAATCTGTGATGCTGCTTACTTTCATTTAGAGGGGTGAAGAGATACTGAAATCTATTATTTTACATTTAACAGAAAGAAAAGCACATGATATAATGGTTAAGAGTACCTTTAAAGGAAAAAAAAAATAATACTAACTTTAAGCAAAGGCTAAGGCCATCCTCTGATCCAGAGCAGAAGAAACTAGATGACAGAGGATCGAAAGAACATATTTATGCCTCATTGTGGAAAGGGATGCTCCCCTACTGGGCCAAGTGGAAGACATGACAGCAGTACTTGGACTTCATCAGGCTGCATGACATTGTTTTGGAATGCCAACAATGTAAACACATAATTACATGCACAACACATGATTCAAGCATGCTTCGATGACAAAATGTGAACAAACATTGTTTCCTCCTAAGTGATCTAAGATGCAGTTCTACTTTACCAGGGGCACATGTTAGGCAGCACAAGGGAATTTAAAAGGATGTTACTTCATAAAAGCAACTCTGTTTTAAGAGATGGAATGCAAATCATATTAGTCACCAATCTATGTGGCAGACTTTTTCTGAAGCACAGTTTACCAATGTTTATCACAGGATGGTGAATATTTTCTCATGCTTTAATAAGCATAAAATCAAAATCTTATACATTCTATAGCTCTGCAAGTTCCCAGTGTGAAATGAAAATAGAACTATTTAATGAACTGCCTCTTAACTTCTGAGATGCACTGTTTTAGTCTCCTACTACCACAGTGGTACTTTCTAGTGGAAATGTGATTCATGTTTGTCTTTGACATCATTCCCACAATCTGTTGTTACCAAGCTCATACATTTCTAAAGAAATAGAAGTGGAACAAAGAAAACAATTGAAAGCATCTCATCCATTCTAATTGGTTGTTGGCTAAGCCACAAAAACTTGGGGCTATTGATAAATACAATGGAGGTAAAGAGATAATTTTATTATTTATTCCATTGGTTGTAAGCATGTCATTCCCAGTATCTTATAGCCCCGGTTGTGAACAGCTTTTTTGATGTGGCACATAATCCTGAGTGAGGATTTACATCTACAGCATAAACCTAAAGATACAATGACTCCAAACACATCTATTTTTTTTTTTTTTAATTTCTAGCAATAAGATAAGGATATTGGAAAGGAGTGAAAATGCAGGAGCTTTAGGACAAACATTTTCATTTTTTTTCTCTGCAGCTCCTTGTGCAATCAGTATTGGTAGTTTCCAGTCATCTGCTATGACCTTCAGGTCTCTGTATGGCAGTAAGAGACACACACAGATCCAACAGAACATGAAACCTGATTAGAAGCAGAGCTCAGCCATGACTGGTGCTGATGGAAACTAACAGAATATTCTGTTTTACTCATTTTCCATGCTACTTTAGGGATATTAATATTGACAGAGTGTATTGCTTTCCTCATACCAGGCTCCTTCATAGCTGCAAAAGCTATTAGAAATCCATATTTCCTTTACACTATGGATTTCCTTATTTTCACAGACTGTAAAATTCTCATTTAGCAACTATAATACGTGACCAGAACATTTTTCAACAATTTCACACTCATCGTGTAGTATTGTCTGCCAGGGTTAATCATGGTCAGGCCTCGAGTATGACCAATCCTGAACTGTATTTTATAGCTGGTTTTTTACACAATCTTTTATTCTAAATGTGTCTATTAGAACTAGTTAAGAAAAGATGGTATAGCTTCAATTCTGATTTCTCTTGAAATATTTATTATTGTGCTTCTTGTTAAAGTTTCACAAAAAAATGTGAGAAAAAGGATTAGATGGGTCTGATCAAATATTGCATAATTTCTATATTAAAGACATTCTCTCTTACATCCACTTGGGATTTCAAGAATATCTTTCAAGTTATTTTTTCTTTTTTTGATTAAAATAGAAGAAAAGAAGAAAAAAAGAAAAAAAAGAAGCAGAGCAACAAACTACTCAAAGCAGTGACTTTAAAAAACAGATTGATCATACTTATCCTGACAATTTAATTCAAGTTTTTATTATTGAGAAATTCCCTTCTAAGAAGACAGGACATGTCTCAAAAATTCATAGACATTTTAAAATTCTATGGAAAAAATTAGTTTTGCTGCCACAGAAATTGGAAATTGTATTGTTTGAACAGTGGAAATGGAAACTTCCTAAAATTACCTTAACATCTATTCACAAAGTAACACAAATCAGTGGATTCATAAGGAAACAGAATCAACTTTCTATGATATTGGCAGAATTAACAGTATTTTTATCACCTACATTTAACAAAATTATGTAGTAAAACACAGATTTAGATTATTTTTTTTTTAGTGATGAAGGGTTATCTGCATATTGTTTTCAGTTTGATCAGCATCTTATGATGCATGAATTTATGACGAATAATAACATCATTATAATTTATAGAACTAATTTAGTTTCAATTAGTTGAAATGCACTGCTACTTCAGTTGTCCTGATTACTGTATTTTGTGAATAGACAGCAGATTTATCTATCCTCAACACCTATGTGAAAATGATGTCCTTCACTAAGAATTTTGTGGGATGAAAGCCTCTTATAGATGACACAAAGTGGAATGAGAAAGGGTGGGAAACACAGGGAGTAAGGTTGGATAAGTCAATCACAAGGATAGAGGAAGAAAGTTAATCCACCTTGGAAACACAGTGCACTATCATTGTTGTTAGTTGCATCCATGTCTGGAAAAGAGGCACTAAGAGGTAATCTTCCACAATCATTCTGGTACAGTGGACAATGGATAGCACCATCTTGAGGCAGTGGATGAAAAGGCTGGTGCGTGGGACTCTTTTTCAGAGCTTTAAGAGATGAATTCCTTTCTGGAATGTCTGGAAGCAGCTCAGTAATAAGTCTGTGTAATATACTGTTGTCGGGCAAGCTTCCCCGCCTTTTTTCAGCTTTAATTTGGTCACAGATGTCTTTAAGTGCAGAATCTAGTGCTTCAAATACAGATGACTTGCATTTTTTCTTTTCAGTTTGTTTTTTAGGAGCTGCACTTTTTTTCCTGCGGAAAGGCACTGGACTGACGAGGAATGCTATCTTAGACAGGCCAGATTCTGCTTCCTGTCTCCTTGGATCCTCAGTGGTTTCTTGCTTAGCCCTTTCATGTTTTAGCATGGTGGTGAAGCGGGTGTAGGATGCTGGGCATCGCCCTTTGCAGGAGCTGATGAGATGCCTGTGGTGGTGGTGATGGTGGTGGTGGTGATGGCCTGATCCATAAAAGCTTTCAGATGAAGTGAAGGAAAAGTGATCGAAGTCACTTTCACTACAAAAGGATGAACCCTCTATCTGGATAAAGTCACTGAGATCAGAAACCACTCCATCTTGATCGCTGTCTGAAAAATCTATATGTGATCGTTGTGGCTCATCACTGGTCACTTCAATATGAATTGGCACCAGGGTTTTAGACTTGTAGCTCCGTTGTACCTGAGAGGGATGCCTGACTGGAGATTCTTCTTCCAGCAGGGATTCGATAGAAAATCGCCTCTTTGGACACAAGCCATTTTTAGGAGGCTCTAACGTAACAGTTGACAACATGTCATCACCAAGGTTCGGCATTGATTTTGACTTCTGAATTAACTTTTCGAATTCAGATATTCTGGTTGGCACCATGTCTCTGGGCACCTCCTCAGTAGAAGACTCTCTCCAGCCTTGAAGAATACCTTTGTGCTGTTCTTTTTCATACTGCAGTATTCTGGACTTGACAGAACAAATCACTTCAGAATTCATCAAGTCCTTGCGATTGATGCGGTGCATCTTTTTGTACATCTTCAGGAAACCTGGAGCATCGTGTGCAGATCTGTGACGAACTCTTGACCTACCACTACCACGGCCCTCAACATAAGGGGAGTTCCAGTTCATTGAGCAAATTTCTTTGGAGTCCTCCTCACATAACAGAGAGCCCATGCTTTCAGCCTTGGCCTGTGCATCGGGATAGCTATCGTGATCATCTGTTAAGAGGTCGTCACAGCTACGAGATTTCCTCTTTGGAGAAGCGGTTTCCTCTGTGCTACTCCAGACTTCTGCATTTTGGCGAGTCATTTGCCAGCCATTTTTGTAGCTGGTTGCCCTTCTTGAATCATTTGGAACAGCTAAATGTTGTCTGTAAGTGCTACAGTAATCTAATTCATTTGAGGTGTTGTGGTTGTGCACCGAGTAACTTAAAAGGGATGGATATACTTTGCTAATATCCCCACCTTTATAATCCATAGAGCAGCATGGTAAAAAAGAGACATTGCCAGAAATTAAAAGATTCAGAAAGTTGGAATTAGCATCAGTAAGTATTAGAAAGACTAGAAAAGAGATAGCAATTAGCGCATCTATCAGCTTAGGTCAGCACATAGTTTGTTACAGCCTAGGACAGCAGAACTAATAATTAAGTTATTTTCCAGCTGCAAAAATGCACTCATCGTAATTTGAACAACAAAAAGAATTCCTTGTTAATTACGGAGATGTTATCTCCTCCACAACCCCTGCCATCAAAGCAACATAAGAAACCAGGCATTAACTGGGGATTAATTGGGATTTTTAAGCAGGTTAACAGACAATAAAAGCTGCAAAGGATTTAAAGATGAAGCCATACAACAAATCTAGACCTCAGGGTAATACAGATTCTTCTACCTGGGCATTCTGAAAAAGTTGTTTAGGATTTTTAACCTGTATAATGCTCAGAGTTCACAGCATCCAAATAGTTTAAATATGGTTAAAATAAAGATAAATCTTTGTATCAGATCAAATAGGAAATTTCTCCAAGTCATTCACAGGTAGCCTGCTCCTTCCCTGTGTGATAGCACTGAAGGGAGCAGTGTTTTGTACAGCTTTTGCAGGTCAGAACAAGGCAGCTCAGGAAGTGCTATGCAAGTGTAAAGGAAGGTGCATCAGTTTACTGATCCTAACCACAATGTAGAAGTAAAAATAACCCTTAGATTGACTTCCATAACAAAGGCCTGAGTTTTCAAGCTTTAAGACACATTTTTATGTGCATGGTAGATCTAGAAGACACTATGAGACAAATTTGGAATGGTGGTCTTTCATAATTGTACTGAACTTTCAAGAATGGTCTCAAGTGGCAACATTCATTTCAGGAATGATGCTTCAAACAGCTCAGTCTGCTTTCTAGAAAAAAATTGAATCTAGATTTGATTTGGGTTCAAAATTCATGCCGATCAAATAATTTATAATATACTCCTTCTTTAACAAATTGGTTAATTTCAAGAAAAATTAACGTTCTACAGGGGTCATAATGCTGGGAGAGAACAGTGTCACCTTCTGAAAGCTAATTGGCTGTAGAAGATATTCTTAATGGAAGGATTTTCAAACACAGGAAGTTCTGAAGTCATACTCAGTGCTTGTTATTGGTGGTGGAGTCAGAGTCACATGCAGGCAAGTGGACTTTATCAGTTTTTTACTGCCTGGCCTGGTAAACCAAATGGATGAGTTAATCCACTTCTAAAATTACTGCTATAACACTTTAAGGTTTTAAATGTTTAAAATACATTTAGTTTTCAACCACCTCACTCTTAATGCTCCTCACTGCTTTTCTTTGACACATTCTGTTGCAGCCTGGATATTATGTTCTTTTCACTGACAATTTACAGAAGTTTACTGATTAGTTTAACTACAAAACAGAGCAATTGAGATAATAATATTAATAATTTGAACAGAAGCAGACATATTCTATGCAGTATTATACTATATATTACTTCTATTTTATGCTTTGCTGGAAGTTTTTTGTCTTTCTAGAAAAATCCATCCAAACCTCCAAACCCAAATGAACAACTGACTCTGTGATCTCTTTCCTGGGGAGACGTGGAAAACAGTAACAGGATGGCGAGTTACTTGCCAAAAACAAGGTAATTATATTGTATCAACTGTACTAAATACTTCCAAGGATTTAGAAAGTAAAAAAATCAGACTATGGATGCTTTTGTGATTAAATTAGGTCCTGATAACTATGGCTATTTGCTTGATTACATTAATAAAAAAGTAATAAAGTCCTGATAACTGACAATGTCTAAGATATCAGCTATGTATTTAAAAGGTCTACTATCCTGGAAACACATCTTTAATCTTATGGGTTATTTGTCTCGATTTACTTTGTCAATCTAATAAAACTAGTATTAAAATCATAATAGTCTAGTAAGGGAGTAGTAGAGTTAAAAAAATGTTTATATATTGTGGTAGAATTCATATCATAGTCTTTTAGTCAATTCTCTTTTGTTAGAACAAGCAGTTGAAACTGGAAAATTTTTGTTACAAATCCACCTCTTCAGCTTAAAATTACACCCATAAGAGTAAACAAGTTAGCCTTTCATGAGAGGCCCCTCACATCACATTCCCTGGGGCAACACACCAGCAGCAGGAGACTATTGCTACCAACACATAGTTCAGCACATCAACAGTGGTTTTCTGCTAACTAAAATGCTCTCCTCTTACCTTTTGCTCTTGATGGAGAAGAAGGAGATGAGCTAGTTAAAGGCTTCCTAAGGGTGGTAGATGGGCCCTGTGTGTCTGTACGGCCCAGGTTAGGTCTGTTGGCGTTCTGATCACTGTGTGCCCTCTGATGACTTACAGTAGGTTCTGACTTCCTTCGCTTTCTGTAGTCACTCGCAGTGCTTGCAGAACTACAGAAAAAAAGCAGTATCAGTGGCAGTCTGATTCTGAGATCAGAATTCAGGAATCTAAGAAGTAAGGTCACAATTAAATTATTGGTTTATAGATTAAAAAATGCCAAAATAAATAAATGAAAAGCACATAAAGGGAAGAAGCTCTGGTCTTACACATCTTACAGCCTATTTCTCAGTGAAAAGATTGATTTGTTCTTAACCTGATTGTTTTAAAAGTTTTACACAACATTACTGTGCAATTTTCTTTGAAATAAATGCATTGAGTTCTTTTAGACTATTTTTTGCAACTAGAATTTAAGTGCAAAGATAGGAAAAAGACAGAGATCAAGAACAATCAAGGCAATGCTTAGGAAAACAACACTGAATATTCTGCAGGCAGTAAGGGTAAAGAATAAATCACTGCTGTTGAGAGAGAAGCTTAGGGATGCTAGTGGGAAGACCCAGAACACAGTATGGTTAATTTGAATGTAAACACTAAGTCCTTGTAAAACTAAAATAAAATCTACACATCAGTATCAAAATCAACACTCTCTCCAAGCATCTAATTTGCCAGTAGCTCACAAGGTGAATGTTAAAATATGACTCTTCACAAAATCTGTTGATTTCAGGTCCCAAAGAAGACCATCAGGCTGGATAATCTGTGTCTGTTGAAGTAATAGATAGTATTTCTTACCTGGAGGGCCTGTCCAGGCCTCTGTCTGTTGAATAGTGATGATACAAGGAAGCCTGTGAAAAAAAACACATGGATTGTTATGTTTGTATTTGAAAAAAGAGTGACAATTTTTGTTTATCATGTTTGAGGACTCTTTGTTACTCTGTGGCAAATCCTATAACAACAGCCATGATGGTTAACATCCTGGGCACTCCATCACAGACACGGCAACATTTCATGAGAATAAATTATGCAGCTTTTAAAAAGCATCATTAGATTTCATTTCCTATTCCACTTAAGTAATATTTTTTTCCTTAAAGCACTGCTAAGTAATGAGCCCTAATCATGCTATTCTATACACTTTTCAAAACCAGAAACAGAACAGCTGAAACAAATCTTTACTATAAAAACATAAAAATCTGAAAATCATTCCTTCATGTCCATGTGAGATCTGCAAAGTTTCTCCTCATCCCTCAGTTACTCACCAAAATCCCACAGTCAATAATAACAAGAAACTTTTGTCAATCCCATGACGTTTGTGGTCAGCAACTGGCCTTATATACCTTATAACCCTGGTAAGAACAGTTCTCATCACAGAACATTAGTCATTGCTTATGGAGTTGCAGATGTAGCTACTGCATGAACACTGGAAGATCGAACTTCCATAATTGTATTTCTAATACAATGTCGACCATGAATGACTACTGATTTTAAATCAACCATTTCAAGCCTTCAGTCAGAATTAAGTAATATTACAATTCTGGTAACCAGGTATGATTCTAAAATGAACTGTATGGTTCCTGGGGTATTTGTTCATGGGTACATGGCAGTCTGGTTCAAGAATTAAACTTCTTTCAAGTTCCTGGCATGTCATTTCAGCTTTCCATAACCCAATGGACTAGAAACAGAACTATTATACAGATTTCTAAGGTGCAGGAAATATTTTTTCCCCTTAGAGAGAGTCTTGTTGGATTTTTCCCTACATGGAAAAACCTTCGTCCTGAAGCACTGCCAAAGTAATGGCACTCATGGCCTGTCTAAGTCCTTTCCTTTGTAAGATTCTTTTTTCCCCCAGTGATTTGATTTGCAAGTTCATGAACAGAAATTCACCCAGATTTGTTAACTGACACTTAGGTACACCTCCAGAAGTCACCAGTAGTCTTAGAATATTTGGGAAAAGATTTTGTAGGACTGTGGGACAGGGAGAGCCACACAAACATGCCACAATATGAAACCAATGTTATCTAAAACTCAAGCTAAGATAATTCCAAATGTTCATGTAGTTCATATTTTCAAGTTTTTCTTTACACCTTCTGAAGGCTTAAAAGTACTTTGTGATGATTCTCCCATCACTCTCCAAATTCACTGATTTTAAGATATATATCCAATACTATGAGGTCTGTCTTCAATAAAACCATAGGAGCCAGACTGTTGTCACACCAACAGCCAGTATAACCACAGTGAGCAAAGGCCTCAGGTCTGTGTGCTTCCCTACACTACCCAAAAAACACACATTCAGCCTGTCCTGGAAAACATCCAACCATCTTCCTTCTCTTGACCAGTCACTGCCACGGTCTGGAACCAGCCAGGAAAGAAACTCAGGACCACAGGTGATCTCTCAGAACTGTTGCACGAGGTGGTACAAACATTGCAGATAAATTGTCACTGTGGATTTTTCTGTGCAGATGCCAACCACTTCCACTAGTGACCACTGACCACCTGTGAGGTGACAGTGGCCAAATGGCCCTGAGGCAGTGATTGCTTCCCACCACCTGTGGTAGCTCCACAGCTGTACAGACCATGGTGTCACTCCCAAGGGTGGAGCAGATCCTCTCTGTCTCCTATGGAAGGCTACGGGTAAATCCCACAACAGAAGTCACACCAGAGGGAATTTCCTTATGCACAGCATTTCCCAGGCCATACACAGTGCAAGTGATCAGCCTAAGATGGCTAGAAGTGCCAAAATTGACTGCTGGATTGCCATATGGCTTTCGCTTTTCACCCTTTAAGATTCTCTTATCACCATGAATGTAACTTGCCCTTTTATCCTTTATTTGATGCTGGCTTTGAAGTTTTTTCTGTATGACAGATCCTGCATGTTGCCCATTCTGCAACACTAATTTTTACTACAGGCACATTATTGTTTATGGAATGTGTGGCGTTTATACCTTCTCTCCACAGCTTCACTGATGTGACATATAGAGGAAAGGTAAAAGTAAACACTGTGTGTGGTTGTTTTTTACTGCTTGTTTTACTGTTTGCAGCTGTCCTGTCACCTCTTGGGTGTTTATTGACCTGTTTTTAGATGGCCCAACTGAACACATCTCTCTCATCTCCAAAGATAATTAGCCATCTTCCACAATATCTAACACTGCTCTATTTGAATAAAGGCCACTTGAAAAGAAAATTAAATATTGGAGATGACAACTCCAAACTATCAAATACAGTCTTTTTTGAATAATTTGATTTGGTTTTACTAAAAAAATGAGATATACATTTAAAAATAAGCATGCATTTTAGCTGTTTTCACGCATCAATGTTTTAATACTGACTAAAAATGGAGCTAAAGAAAGTAGGCAAAAGTAAAAGATAAATAATAAATAGGCTTGTTTGCATGATGGTTATAATACTTTATCAAGTTATTTTGAATAGTCTCCCCTTTCTGGAGAAATATTAAGTTGCTGTAGTTTTTGAACATGATTTATCATATTTAAAGATTTTTAAACTTTCAAAATTAAAGACAGAACTTTTTGTAAATTAATCAAAGAGAAAATCAGTGTTACTTAGCAACAATTTTACCCAGACCTACTGAACACAGAAATATTTCAAAGTCATGTTATGACTTTTAAATTGTCCTCCTTGATATATTGAAAACCAACAGGAATTAGAAAAGGCCAACAAGCATTCTTCTTCAGAGAACTGGGCCCCAAATTTCACAACTATAGTTTTTTCTAGATATATAGAGAGCTTAAAAACAAACCACAGTAAATTGCAAACAATTAACAATTTAAGACCACAATTTGAGTTTAACTTTTGGAGAAACTACGGAAGATGAGAGTGAATTACAAACATGAATGGAGTAAAGCCACCATATGAAGCAAACTTGCCAGCAGCAGATTCACTGACTTTTGCCCTAATTCTGTAAAAATGGGGAGGGAGTGGAGAAGGAATGAAAGCCTGAATCTCTCCCACTCAGAGTAGGGCAATGTCAGCCCGCTACCTGATCTTGATGAATTTTATTTGGAGTACTGACAGCAACTGTCAATCCTGAGCTATAAATTACAACAGTACTATTAATTGCTGTTTTACCTGATGAGCAACCTTAGTCATAAATACTTAATAGGAGAAATGACAGCTTAGCCACAAAGGCTTTCACTTGACACATAGAATTTGCACATAGAAGTCAGATATTTTAATAAAAAATATACTGTGCTGATGGATTAATTGTGCAATGCACTTGCCCAACTCTGAAAAGTGGGAATTTGTCAAAGAGTTAGATACGTATGGAGTATTGTGTAATTCTGGGTGTTAATCTCTGCGAAGTTTTGGGGATAAGGACTCACAGTTCCTAGGATAATAAGATCAACATCCAAATGCACTAGTGATCTGGAAAGATATGAAGACAAAGATACAATGATTGTGAATTAGAAATGTCTCATAGCTATCAGAAGGAAACCACTAAATTTTAATGAACTTAAGACATAAATGGTGAGCATTCCAACCCTTCTTCCCAAGAGAATCATCTGAAAAAGAACCATTCATTTACCTCATAGGAAACACCAGTTGAACTGTCTTGAACATAGTCCAAAAGCTTTTTAGGTGGCTGCATCATAAAAGCAGAAGTGTAGAGATGAAATGGAGTAGAATCAATGGCAGCAAGGAATGAAACATGTGGAAAAGGTGACACAGTTAGAAATTAAGTGTTGACAGCATCAGATACAAAGAGTGACACACATGGGTAGAATGGAAGGATAAATGTGTTATTTTTAAAAAATCTTAATAAAATGTTAGTAACTTTAGGTGTTAAAATTTACAACTGGAATGGCTGAATAAATACCAGCAGTTTTTAATACTGATAGAGAAAAGTGTAAAGCATCACAATTATGCTCTCCAGGAGGAATTTCAATGTATTTTATCTTATAAGTTATTGTTATCAGTAAAGTATTGTTGTGATACAGTTCATCAGAAGAATTTATCTGTCCTGTTTCTTCCCACCTAGAGGGAGGAATGACAATATGACTTGAAAGGCAGGATAATGGAGATAAAAAGTAATCTGTGACAATGTGATAACATTATAGACCACTGCAGAAATTAAACCCAGATATATTTACCCTTCCTTTGTTTTTAATTTTCGGAGGGTATTCAATGGATAATTCTTTAAAATGCTATGATTAAAACATTAAGGTTTTAAAGGAGAGTATAAAATTTTCTTTCTCTTCTGCTCTCACTGAAATAGCAGAGAGTTCTGATTTTGGCTTATGGTAACTACAGAAAGGGACTAAGGTCTTCCAGGGTGTCCTCCAAAGCGCTGTGTCAAGTGCTCAGACTCCTCATGTAGCCTGGCATGTCACTAATTAAAATTCATATAGGCTTCCAGAGGTTGACAGGGAAAGAAAAGAGTGGAGATATTTTGAATTCTGATACTTTCAACCTCATGTCTACTTCAGATTTCCTGCCTGCAGCCTGTGGCTTCTGCTTTTTAAACTCAAAAATTCCTGGGATGGATCCTGTGGAGCTATGAGAATGCTTAAAAAGACTGACAGAATGCTTGGGTTTACTTCCCTTCTTTTTCTAAGGGGATTTTAATTTCTTTTAATTTTCCACCTGTCTGGATATTCCAACTATCCTCTTGGATACTCTTCTGGGATGAATACATTTGCTATCCTTTTTCCTAAAGATGTTAGAGTGTATGGAAAGAATTTGAGCTCTGTGGAGCCAAAGAGGGAGTGTGCAAAAGCAAGAGCAGGTGCATCTCCAACCTAGTTGTTAAGGCATTGTGCAGGGATAAAGTGAAACCTAGTTCTCAGTGTTGCCTCAAGGGCAATGTTACTGTTTTACTGTTGTAAAAAATATACAAAAATATATAAAAAACAGCCTTAGGTGCTTAGCTACAATTAAGCCTAGGTATTTGCAGAAGAAATTTGCAAATGCTTAAGAAATCAAGGTGAAAAATTGAGATATTTCTGATTTTTAGGTGTTTCAGCCAGATGGAACTCTTCAGGTTTATAATTTTAAATGTAAGCATTTGCAGCAGGTCTAAACCAGCAGCTGTTTGCCAGAGCCCTTTTTTTTGGGTAAGGGCTACGTGTGAAAATAGGAGCAGAACTGAAGTCTGTCCGTTCAAATAGGTGTCCAGCTTGAAAACAGAGCAAACCGATATCTCTGTCTTCAGGTACACAATATGAATCTGCATATATGCATTTAAGAGATGAAAAAAAGGAAAAAAAAAAACCTCTCAGTATTTACTGCTATAAGAAGTTAGTTTATGGTTTCATACATTTAAATTCAGATACAGTCCTTTAATAAAAATATATTTTTATTAATTTAGTTGATCTGCAGCTTAGCATCCCTAATGCAAACTGTCATGTTTTTCTGTCCTAGAAGATTGTTCAAAAATAATCTAGCCAAATGCAAAAAATTTAGGCAAACTAGCAAGCATCCCTGTTTAACACGGAATTTATCTTGTTATTAAATACTTACACACTACTATATATCTAATACATACTCCTTATTAAAGCTGTTAGTATAATGACTCTAGCAAGTTGAGTCTATTTCAAAAAAATGCTTATATTCATGGGACTTTACTGCCCTTCTTCAAAAAAAACCCCAACTTACATTAATTTTACTGTCATATACTTGCTGAATTTGGTAATTTAAATAGCTCTTTCTAAAAATATTTTTTCCTAAAGTGTATACATCAATATTCTGCCCTCACTTACCGGACGTCCAAACTCCAGCTCTGAAAAGAACTTATACCAGGGTTCGTTTTCTAAATCTATGTCATCTGGGTTTATGCGATCAGTCTGGAGCAGTTGTGAAGGAAAAGGGAAGGAAAAGGCACACACTGAGCAAAGTGCTAGAAATGCTGTCACTTTAACAACAAACACACAGACATAAAACAAATATGGGGAAAGAAATGAAATAAACTCAAAGAATGAAGATGGTATTAAAGACAGAGAATATTCAAGTGTTCAAGAGCTGTCATTCACTGGTAGCTTTAATACTTTTCTTTTTGTTGATTTTCTTCCAAGGACTGGAAGATGTTAAACATTTTAAAATTACACTTTTAAAGCTAAGTGGTTTTTGACCTTTTCTTTAACATCACTGCATTTGTTAATTACATTTAGTGCTGCTAAAGATTCCTTGTTAGGAAGATGGTATAAATGATTGTCTTCTCCAGCACAGGCAGCAAATTGCCCATCTGATCAGCAATAAAGACACAACTTTATCTGTATTGCTTTCGGTCATTCCTTGTCTTCTCACAGAGCATGTTGATTCTGAATCTTGATGTCTTGAAGCAAGCATTGAGCAGAGATAAGGAATATGCATCATGCAAGCATCACTATGTTAAAAAGCCACTTCAGCATATGAAAAGGAACTGGTATATTTTAGATCCTATGTTCAAAACATAGGGAACAAAAAAATTATGCATTCCATAATATTTGTTTCAGCAGTACTGTGAAATGCTTTATCTCACATAGCCTTGTTGACATAATGAAGCATTTTTTTCCACAGTGAAATACATTGTTTTCATCTGAAAATTCTCACAGCCAAGAGATAAAGTAGCAATTGAAGATAGTATTAAGAAAATCCTTCAGTGAACAGAAGAGTAATTGACAGATTTATTCAAGCAGCGTGGAAACATGACAGTGCAAGACAGTACAGCTCTCAATGGGATATGTAATCAACTGTAAACTTGGCTGCATTAATTACTTTCTAAACAGCTTCAGTTTCTTTGTAGCATCTGATGTAGGCTTTCATGCAGCACAGAATTACAATGAATTGCTGGCTTAAAGATCTCTGAAACAGAGAAATCCTCTTGTTAAAGACATTTTTGAATTTAAAATTTGCTTCTCCATAACTCTGATTATCAGAACGTAGACACTAATTATGGTATGCCCTAGAAAGCAATCAAGAATGACACTGGTGATCAAGTACGTAACACTTTCTCCTCGGGAGTCAAACTGTCACCAGCAGACCAGAGCAACCACATACAGCTATTTCTGTTTTCTGCAAGAGATAATATTGTGGTTTTGACCATTTCAGGTAATTAAACATCCTACAGCACTTTTCTTGCTGCTTTTGGTGTTACTGGGACAGCCTGCCAACTCTTCTGTATGGAAAGGTCAACAACCCTTCACAACTACCTTGGTGGTCACATATCTACGAGCTGTTCATGCAATATCTGGATCCCAGCTGTTGTTTTATGCACTTATGTTCACAATGCCCTTTCAAATAAGGGAAGCAGTATTCCTGAATACTGAAGGAAGTAAATGTCACTGATGAAAAACTTTCTGTGCTCCAGAGAAGGGTTAGGAAGTAAAGTGCTTCTGGAGTTTTGCCCTTATATTTCCACCATCCACAGCTGTATCTCAGCAGTACTGACAAGTGCTTGAATTCAGCTATACACATGCAAGTCCTTTGTAGAGAAATTCTACTGAAATTAGTTTAATGAACTGACTAATAAAAGTGTGAATTTAATAGACACTATGACTAATTTAAGAAAAAACCACAGGATTCTCTTCTACAGAGATATGAAGGCATGAGGGCAAAAAGTAACAGATACAAAATGCAGAAGATAACTTTGCAGTATATCAACTTGGTTCCCATTACAGAGAATACTTGCCATATTTAGAGGTTTTTTTTTTCCTTACCTTAAAAAAAATTCCACAATTTTCATCTGGATAATCTGAGAAGACATTACTAACCAATTCTTTTCCATCCTTTCTCCAAACTAAGTTACCATATGTTGAAATATTGCATGTTCTTACCTTTATATTCTACCAAAAATTTAATTTCCACAGAAATGTTGGTATCAATAAATGAGTGTGTTTACATAAAATAAATATGTAAATATTTTTTAATATTTAAATAGGGTTGGATTTGTGGAGTTCTTGCCTCTAGAAGTTCTGGCCTACTGACATAACCCTGTGAGCCTCAAGGTGCCCTGAAGAGAAGCAGCCCCACAGCTACACAGTGATGGAACATGTCCCTCCTTGCAGGGAGGCAGAACACACTGACAGATCAACTGGGCTCCCCCAATGCCAGCCAAGGAGACAAAAATGAGAATGGGAACTGCCTCCCTTTTCCACTTTGAATACTCTTGCAATTAGCCGCAAGCTTAAAATCACTTGTGTTTCTGATGGTAAAGAAAAAGCTAGAAATAATGTTTATCTAGTTTCTAAGTTTTCATTTCCTCTCCTGTAGTAGTTGCAAATAAAATGAGACCGATACTAAGTATGTAGAGCTAACTCCAAGCAGCCAAGTCCACTTTAATTTACAGCTTCAACCGCAGAGGGCAGCAAACAAAAAGAAACTGAGCACTGAAGTCTGCAAATTCCCTTCTGCCTGGCACTTCTGGAGAGGACTGTATGCCCTGTTCTACCAAGATCAATACACAGGCAATTGATTTTGCTGGGCTTTTGGATTCAGTTTTGCTGACAGACCTTTTTCTGTTATCTCCCCTTCTAAGAGACTTAAAATGAATAAATAATTTTGACTTAAAAGCTGCACTTGGCTTAGTCTCACAAAGTATCTCCCAAACTACTGGAATAGAAAGTAAAAGCAATAAAGGAAAATCCCTTTTTATGACTTGCCAGTCAAGTACTGTTCCTACATTCTGTCCTTCAAGTAGAAATTTAGTAATATTTTGATTATTTGTTGAAAATATGCAACTAAAGACCACTAAGTAACTTCACTCCCTTTGCATCAGATGGTCAACACAAAACTGCATCAGCATTCTCAAGTATAGAACATGGTCAATGAAAAAATTACATCTGTAGTATTACATGTAGCTTTGCCTGTTCTTGGTTTGATACACAAATAGACATCAACAGGTAATAATCAAAACTGCATTTCAACTCGTGAGTTAGATGGTTCTTACATGTAGATCAGTATTTTGCATTTGCAGGTTCAGACACCAAACTGAAGCCTGTGTGGAATAAGCTGAGATGCCTGTTGTAAATTTGGCTTTGGCATTTTATTATCTCTAAAGAATAATTTTCTTTTGGTTTTCCTTTTTTGGACTACTTTTTAAATAGCTGTGGTAACTCCAAGTCTACTACCAGATGGACTTAGTCTATTTCTTCATGAGAAGAAATATTTTTTAATGACATATTAAGCAAACCAAGCAGAATATTCAGATAACCAGACTGAGATGTCAAAAGCAACCAAATGTGCATGTTCTAAAGAAAATTTCAAATTTTTCACTACATTAAAAACCAAACCAAATGAAAAACAACAGATGTACATCATGGAACAAGCCCAGTCTATTTCTGGTATTTGACAAAACAGTAATTTTAAAAAAAATATTCTAATTGTGAATTCCTCTTGCAAATAAACTCAGCAGAAAACTTGTATGTTGAACAGAGATTAAAAAAAATAGAACTAAAATTTAACCTCACAGTTTTATTTGACTAGCACATGTATACTTTTATGCTTAGAGTAAAAAAACTAATTAAAATAGAGGCATTGCTTGTACCAATTTTATAAGGTTTTTTTTACAGTAACACTGAGATATATGTACAAGTATGGAGGAACTGCTTCTCATATATACAAGATAGAAACTACTGAATAATAAAATTTAATTTATTTACACATGATTAAGTTGTTACATTGTTATTTACTTTTTAATGGAAAGTAAGCATCCATTTTAGGAAACAAGTCCATTGTTTGGATGATACTGGAGAAAAAGAGGAATATTTAGTTGAATTGCAGACACTGGAGATGGAAACAGACATCAAAACAACTTATGTACCACCCTATCAGTGGCTTCTTGAAATAGGAAAAAAATGAGCTGCATCACCATGTCTTGTAATACTATTTAATGCCTTAATATCACAAACTTCTAGCATAATCTCAAAATGCTACTCCAAAGCCTTTACTTTTTGCTGATGTTTTATACTCTTACAAATTCAAATTATGGAAAAAAACCACAATAACTTCCTGTTTCATGGAAAAGGCTACTACACAACACAGCAGTCTGAAACTTCACTCGTCCTTCTGCATCTATTACAAAGATAATTGGTTATTCCCCACCAATCTATCCATTTAATGTTTGTTACTAGGTCAGTGTTTTGGTTTTTATTTCTCACATTGTTTTGATTAACACAGATCTTCTTTTGATCAGTGAGGATCTGCTGAATAGTGTTTCCCACTAAATGTCAGCTTTACATTGAATCTCAATTTCTTTTATTCTTCCCATGTTTTCATCTCCACATTAATCACAACTGATTCCAATTGACTACATACACCAATAAAGGGAACACTGATCTGCCAAGTCTGACTTGTCCTGCTCATTATGATACAAGGTAGCTGTAAGTATTTTATATTTTTGACAGATTACTTTGCCATGAAAACTACAATCTTGTAGACATGGAACTTATGTAATTAAAAAAAAATTGGGGATTTGGATTGTTAGAAAAACTCCCTTTGACTTTTTTGGTTTTGACAAAATGAATAAAGTATGAATTTCTAGTTCAGACACTATAAATGTCCATCCAATATTAATTTAGTGCATTTATTTTATATTCCACATTTTATTAATTCTTTCCTTCAGTATCATCAAAATTTTTCAGACATTAAAAATCAAATCTTTTGAGATTATCAAGATGGAAGATTTAATTCATGCAGTACTGACATACTTGAGAATTTGGAGTTTTCATCTGAATTTGGAACCAATGCATTATTTTCTGATGTCAGCTTTTCCAACACTCAGTGAAAAGAGCTTTTGACCTACTTTACTGATCATCTTTTAAGGAGTTAGTTTTACCTCCTATATACCATTCAATGAATACAAGGAAAGCAAATACTTCTGTGAAATAAATTTGCTGTTAGTAACATGGTCCAAAAGCAGTATCTTAATTACATAAAACTAAATAGCATCTTTATCAACAGTAGACATTCCAGATTGATGAAACTGTGATAGCTCCCTATTTTTTTCAGCTATGTTACGTTAGTGTCAGTACAGCTTTTATCTTATATTTTGTAATTTTTTAAAGCTCTGAATAAACAAACAAAATCTCTCACAAACAAAAAAATCTCCCAATTCTGTACATAAATGTACTTTTCTCAGCTTTAAAAATTTCTTATACAATGAGATGGTTCTTTGTATGTACATCAGCTAAGCCTAAATGTTTAGTCTAAGCTTCAGATGACAAAATATGACCTAACCCTTGATGGGTATTGCTTAGTAGGTACAACATGACTAAAGCTTTCCTGCATGCAAATATTTTAAGGACCAAAAAAAGCTCAAAATTCCATCTCTTGATTTAGATTAGCAAAAGTAAAATGCATAAGCAAGTGGAAAAAAGTGGAAGAAAGCTCACTTTTTTGTTATTTCGTTAGTTTGCTAGAATTGAAACAATGTAGCTCTGACAATATTAATCAGCACTGCAATTGTCATGTCAATTAATTTTGTTCACATTACATTATCGGAAAATGTAATTTATTAGAAAAGTGAGGCCACTCTTGGAATACCTGAAATCAGTGTAATTTGCTTATTTTTAATTTGAATCTGCTATTACTCTTTGGCATTGGGAGGACTGGAAAATTACCTCAGTGTTTTTAATGCATCCATGGCACTCAGAAAGTACTCAGGACAAATGACACTGCCTTTTAAATAAAATTATTAAGTTCATCTGCACTCAGATACTAATTCTATTGATTCATTACCAGTTCCTACAGAAATACCAATTTCTTCTTTGAGAAACACATCAGTTGGGCAAGAACTCAATTTCACAGAAAAAGAGCTTCGTGTTTTCTAGCTAACAAAAATTAGATTCCTGCAAAGACCACAAAAACAAAGGAAGTGGTGCTTGGTTCAGGTGTTCCACTGTTGATATATTACATATTTTGAAATTCAGTTATTTCCTTAATTTGCTTTAAATTGGCAAAATAAATTCTGTGAACAAGCATATAATACAGAAGTAAATAGCAATCCAGTACTGATTTCATAAACATCTTCTTTAACCTGGACTCCCTCAAACATTTCAACCTTAAAGTAAAAGACCAAGAAAAGAAAATATGCCACTGATACATGACAGCTTTCCTAAAATAAGAAAATGTTAAGATAGTACAAAGCTAAATTAGAAGGGCTGGGTGAACGTGTCTTTCAGCAAATGAAAACTTCCATTAATTGTCATTTTGCAAGCATTAAGCACAGCTTTATTCCAAAATTACAATCATTATTCAGAAAGCAGGAATAAAGACTTCTAATTACATGTTAAGGTACACTCATTCATAATGTACACTCACTCAAATCACAGAGCATTTGGGGCTGGGAAGGACCCCCAGAGGTCATCCAGCCCAACCTCCTGCTAAAGCTCTAATCATATCAGGTTGCTCAGGGCTGTGTACAGGCAAGTCTAGTCTGGGCAACCTTGGCCAGTATTTGACCACAATCTCCTTAGATATACAATTCAGCAGATCCTGAAAAAGCAAATATTTTATTTTTATGCACTAATTAATCAGATATCATATGTGCTGTTAATACTACTGAAAGTAAGTGTTGTAGATGCACACCAGTTAGAAAAACCAGCTTCCATCTGTTCTGCCTATCATCCATGAGGTTTGCATAGTGGTGATTTCTTGCAAACACTGGAAGATGTAAGTTGAGTAAATAAGCCAAACCCCATTTTTCAATATAATCATCAGATAAGAACAAGCACAAATTTCTACAAAATTGTATTTTAAAAAGAATCTTCAATATTCCTCTAAGTAGTTATTAATAATAGTAAATAATAAACAGATAACCTCTTACCAAATCTCTTACTGTATTACCCATTTCATTTACGTGTCTTACCGGTCTTTCGTGTTCAAGGATTGATGACTTTCCCGGCTCATATTCAAAAATACTTCTTGGTTCAGAACGGAACTTGCGAGTATCTACCTTTCTGTCAGGAGGATCCCAGTCATTCCTAAACAGCAAATACAAGCAACTGAGCTCATTTACTGTCATCACCTTGTGCTTTACAGCTCTGTACAACAGAAACCCGCAAAGCCAAAAGATGTTCAGAACAGCAAATCTTTCCAGATCTCAGCTGGGGAACATCTCGCTTGGCATCCCAGTGTTTTGCTGTATAAAACCATAGCTCATACATATTTTTATTTAACTCTGTGTAAAATGACACACTAGTAACTCAAAGGTTGGAAGAAAGGGAAGGGGAAATACTACCATCTATTGTCTGTATTTATGATAAGAAAGAGCATACCCTGATTAAATTTTATCAGTTCTATTGGTCTTTCTGGTATGATTTGGTTTGATGTGACCTGACATAATATGCACATGTCATGTGCCTTAAAAAAATCTATGGGGTAGCTTTTGTTTATAGTAATGCTTTCAAGTGCATTTCAGTGACACAGACGCCTCTATTTATAAAATACCCTACATTTCAAGGGAAGTAGTTCTACATGGCTTTATTGTTTATTTTCACTGAGGAAAAAATTGTTTTCAGAGCAGAAAAGGTTGCATTTTTTGAGAATGAACCGGAAAATGGAAATATTCTGATGAAGTTGCATTATACTGCAAGCCACTGAAGAAAGAAGGATGCTACTGAAATTCTGATTCATGCTCAGTTCAACTAATTTACAGTTTTCAGGTTTTTATCCTGTATGGACTATATTTTGAGCTCAGCTGCTAATGCAAACCATATCTTGCCTCTCAGCTATGAAACATGATATATGTGGACCTAAGCCTCTTATGTGAGATTTTAAAATACTCTAGCTTTATAGGCAATTAAAAAAAGAATCTCCCAATGGCAGGAAAAGATTGACAAGCTATAGCTTTCAGCAGTGGGCAAAGCATAACTAACATGTTTGGCATCCCTTGGCCTGGAGAACACAGATTTCCACTGCCTGTTGTATCATGTGGGAGATTAAAAGCAGAGGTTAAATAGACAAATTCAGTGCTGAGCAGTTGTTTCTAAGTTTGACAAAAGGAACTCCAACAGGCCTCAGTTTCTGTGACTGAGGCATTTGGCCTAGCACAGGACAAAAACTCACACAACTTCAGAGATCAAAGCTAAACAGTGCCACATTTTGGTGTCTCGCTAAAAAAGTCTGCACTTCTGTACGACCTGCTAACAAAATTCAAGCCTCATGGCCTCTGTGAGGCAGACCAGCTCTAACCTTTAGATTTCCTCTTGACAATCTGTCCTTGGCAACAGGAAAGCCAAAATCAGTAACCATCAAGCAATCCCATCTTCCTCTGCACTATGTGTATCTACAGAATTACGTTTTGGATTGCCACTACCTACAAATTTTTCAAAAAGCCATAGTTGTGTCTTAATTCTAAACACTTATTATGGTCTTTCCTCACAATATTTTATTCAATCTGCTAATTACTTGAAACTGTTAAATATAATTAAATTTCTTCATATAAATATGTTTGCAATGTCCAAACTGACAAAAATGGACAAATTCTCTTTTGTTGCTTGAGTGTAACCAAGAAGGGAGCTTGTAGGCACAGATGAAAGGGAAATATTACCCTTTTAATATAGAATATATACATACCCCCCCACATACAGATTTATAATAGCATAATATTATATTAACATGTTGTAGTACTTAATGTAAACAGTAAAGAAAAAGATTTTTGCTTAGATAGTACCTACAGATATGCTGAAGTCAACAGAATTTGTGTGCAGGTCTACTGCATGGTTTTATCAAAAGGATAAGAACTTATTTCCTGAGTTATTCATTACTAACTTCCTCCAGACTGGGCTCTAACCAATGGGACCTGGTTTTGTGTAGAGAAGTTGGACAGAAAACTGTGAGATATCTGAAATGCCTCTTTAATCTGTAAACACTATCTTGGTCTACCAAAATGAAGATTGAAAAAAATGGAGGTATAAAGTACTTCTAAGCTCTGGGGAAATGTGGGTTAACTGCTACACTCTTGTACATTTTTCCTCTCCCTTGAATTTAGAATTACATCATCTTTTTGATCCTTTCTCTTTGGTGCTGGATACAACGAATGGCCTTTCCTACTCAGAGACTATTGAAGACAGCTCCTAGAGCACAGACTGTTCTGAAACACAAGAAGCAGGACAATACCACTAATGAGAATAAAAATCCTTAACGCTTATGGTCGCATCATGAATAAGAATAAACACATCTTTAGCACACTGAAGAAATGACAGGACCATGCATGATGCACAGACTCCTGGTGCAGATCACCCCTCATCGTCTGACTGGCCCTTGAATAAAGTCCTTGAAGTCATATTATTCTAGAGCTGCTATTTCATCCTTGGTTATATTCTGCAATTGGAGCACTGTACATAGCAAGAACACCTTGCAAAAATGCACTGACTTACTTTTCTGGTGTAGACCGTTGGCGCATACGATGTGGTGGTACCGGTGGTGGCACATGGGGTGGCAAAGGGGACGAGACCTTAAAGGCATCAGAGCCACTGTCAGAAGCGCTTTTGGACAGTGGTCTGTACGTCTGTGTCTTTGCAGCTGGGTGTGCCTGAGCAGAGAAGGATGGACTGTAGCTACCTAATATGAAACAAAATCAGAAACAGTTGTAACATGAGAGTAAGTCTTAAAAAACCACAACATGGAATGCCACAAGAACCCACAGTAACTCAATACAGCGGCAAGGTTACAAAAATGTGAAAATGAGTTTTAAAAGTACATTGCTGCATATTATGTAGCTCATTAGAGAACTTCTTATATATTTTTACACAAAATTACAAACACACAGATAAAGTGCAGTACAGTTAAAAGAAATTAATTTGATGGAGAAGTTAATGGGTGTATAAATCCATCACGTCTGTTAATGACAGCCTGTAATTAATCTCCAGGCTCATCCTGTTGCTCAGTCGTTCCATGTTCAGAAGGTGGAGAAGAGGCAGGAAACACACCTTTTTTCATTGTTTTAATAGCTAGTTGGTTTGTGATGATGAGGCAATAGCCTATCTTGAAGAGGATCACAAGGGTACAAAGAGATGCCAAACCACTGACCCACAACAAATCTTCTGAACAGCACAGAAAAAGGCATGATTGAGAGCATGTTTAATGCACCAAAAACTGAAATAAAAAAATTCTGAATGGCAGTTTTGCAGAAGGCACTGTGGCCTTTTTTGCACATAGTCTATTCATGCTTTCATTTTTGCTTTTTTTTTGGAAATAATTTTACCATATGGGTATAATCTTCTTAAAACACGATAATTATATATCTTAGATAAATATGCCTTTTCTTGTGTCTAAATAATGTTAACATGAATGCCTATAGCAAAAATGGTCAAGTTTGAAAAACAATCAGTTTTATTAGGCATTCTTGCTGCATATTTTTAAAGTGTATTCAGTACATTCTTTGTATCTTTCCATGTCAGTAATTAGTATTTTCATTTTCACACAGTAGTTCCCTTTCCATTTCTATAAGGAAAGGCTGTGTTACTAACAATCACTAGTGAAAATAAATGCAATGTAATCAAGAAACCACAGTGCTAAGTATATCCGTCTACAGTGAGAGGTCCACAGCTGCAATTAATTTCTGTAGTAAGAATGAAACTAAAATTAAACTTGTTTCAATTGGGGGAAAAAGGCACGAACAACTGAGATCAAACAAGACAATAAAGAAGTGTGGCTACAAGCTTTATAAAAGCGAGCGTGAAGAGTTAACTACACCATTACTTGCTGACATTAACAAAAGCGTCATTTTGAACATGGAACAATTCCTACCAGTATTGTATGCATATGCAGTATTATACAAGTCTGTGTCGTCATCTACAAAAAGAAATGCATGTGTTACAGTAGTGCCATACATGCCAGTTCATCACAGAAGCTGAGCTTTGTTTTTGCAAATACAAATAGCAGACTGATAGGCAATCAAGGACTGTATTTCTTTTCCTTGTCTCATAGGTGCTTTTGGATGACTCCATCTTCCCATTATACTTAGGCTGTATTTACCATCTTACATCTATATTGTATTGTATCTTCTGGTCACATCACTCATATTGCATACTTAATAAATTAGCACTGAACTGCAAATTACTTTTTGTCTGTTCTTTTCTCCTCCCCAAGCTTGATTCCTTCCTTTTGTCAGCTTTTCTCTGCTACAGACTGTTAAGTTGTTGTTCCTATCACAAATCCAGCATATCTACTATATGACTAGTGCTCAAAATAGAGCTTGTAAGCCAATATTCTGCTGCCTACATTTCTTATTCTCCCACTAACATTCTGTGTGACCATACTGAATGTTAGCTCTACCTCAGATGAATAAAGTCTCCCTCCTTCTGGAGGTGCAATGAGAATAATTTCCATTTATACAGTTTTCTGACATCCTTGGGGCAAATCATAAAGGACATTAAAGCTAGCAATGTCACCAAAGCTCTGTTTCAGCAAAACCAAGTAAGATATTCTATGACAACAATGAAATTCAAGCACAGAATTTGTCCTTAAACCTGCCTGTTTACTAGCCCACACTGTTCTAACACTGGAGTTCTCCAAAAGAAAGGCAGTACAGATGGTAGAAGATTTGCAGTAGACAATTTCTCATCCCTCAAACTGGACATGAGGAGACAAAGATAAGAACATACTCACCAGGCTTATGAACCATATGGATTTGCTTGAACATTGTCTTGTACCAATCCTTTGGCCTGTCAACTGTCTAGAAAAATACAGTTTTGACAATTAATGACAAAATAAAAATACCCATGTGTATAGATGGGATCAGACATTTAACGCTATTCTGGACAGAAATATTATATGTTATTACTTATTTATTGTAATAATTTTCATGTGTTTTGAATGTATTTATGCATCCCTGTAACAAATTCTGGAAGACACTGAAGACTGAGTCAGTCTCCTCCTCCTCCTCCTCCTCTGATCTTGGGAGGGTGTAATGGTTCAGAACATAGGAATTATTGTGAGATCAACAGTTCATCATCTTAGTGCGCCATATCTGACAATGATGAATGCTAGATTCTTCACAGGAAAACAGAAACACCTCGGCAGTTATGATTACAAGCATGTAAGAAGAGCTTCTTTGGACCTCCTGGCAATTTCCAGATTAAAATACTTTCAAAATTGTTAAATAATGCAGAAAAATTTTGTAATACTACTGAGAAAAGAACTAGGACCACACTATATTTCAGAGTTAATGTCTGGATTGTAAACAAAGAGTATTCTTTTAACCAGTTTCAAAAGCCCTTTTCGGATAACTTAATTTTAACTTATTCAATAATCACTCATTAAATTATCCTTATTTTTGCTAACTAAGTAATCCCAAGGCTCCCAAACTCTGCTCATATTGACACCTTTTTGTGCTTCTTTTATCTCTTACCCTTCTGAATTTTCTCTTTTGCTGCTATTTTCTTTGAGGTAGGATGATATTATTTCAGAAAATTATTAACACAAAGGCAAACATGTTTTCAGTATTATCCTTAGATGCTCATATTTTACTTGTCCCACAGTAGTCAGAAAACCAGAAGTTGTAATGCAAAGAATCATGGAATCACAGAATGGTCTGGGTTGAAATGGACCTTAAAGATAATCAAGCTCTAACATCTCTCCCATGGACAAGGACAACTTTCACTAGGCCAGGTCTCTTGGAGCTCCATCCAGAGTGGCCTTGAACACCTCCAGGGATGAGGCATTCACAACTTCTCTGGGCAACCATAAAACCCACCCTATTAAACCTCATGGTACACAGGGAAATTCAAGGGCCACCTCTTGGAGTGATTATCTTGCACCAGCTAATACCAAATGTGCAATCACTTTGCTTACTCCTCTTTACTACAAAAAGAAAAAATCTACAAATTCTTCCCTACAGACTACTGGACAGATTTGTGTTGTTCACCACACACTGCCATCTTTACTAAATCACACCTTTGCCATGACTACTTGTTATCTGTACATAACAAATATGTTTTGTTTACAATGGTGAGCTCTTAGTATAAGGGACTAGGCAGAAATGCTACTGTATTCTGAGGACTCATATTGACTTCTCATAAAATTGTTACTAAATAATATTACAGCAATGTTTAAAATAAGAGCTGACAGTCAGTTGAAGAACTTGGGGATCTCCTGGGTAAGAAAACAATTAAATAGAATTATTCTTTTTACCTAGGCCTGCTTGCAAGACAGAGATAAAGGAGATTCACTTTTGTCTTAAGATAGGTCCCTTCCCCCACCTGCCAATACTGCTGAGTTCTGCCAAGTGTAAGTTATTCAGAAGCAGATTTGAGTAATTTTAATACTGTTTCCCAAAAGGTATTAAATATCCATACTACTGGGACTCTGGTTAGAATATTTTATCTGGAATTGAAACAAGTATGTTGTTTTGTGCTCCAGGGTCATATATACCCAAAAATTTACAATTCCAGGAGGTCTGAGGGAATTCACACTGATGGGCATAACCTCCCTGCTCCTCCTCATTTCCCACAGCAACAGTCACATGATATTGCAACTGCCTGATTGTATTGAACCAAGAAGAGTCTTCTAACAAGTGGTAGGTGAACACATTGCAAATAATGCATAAATACTACTGCTATCTCCCTGTTGTTTGTCAAGCATTGCCTCGTCCTCCACAAAGTCAAAGGAGGCTCCCACATAGAGCTCAGGTATGGAGAAGCTCCCACATGAGTAGAGAAGAATGTTTCCCAACATCTTTCTAGACATTTGAATGTTTCTTTCTCTCATCGTTTCCCCAGCAAACCCTTCCTAGTGGTTTCAAGCCTCAGCCAATAACTTGGATTTAAGTTATAAACCAGATAGGATTAAGAAATAGAATACTCAAAATATTAATTTTGAAATACATTTTCTCAATTTATATTCACTAATCCCACACACCAACATTGTTTGAGGAATTAACAGTATTCACAATGCATGAAGCCATTCAGATGCCATCCTGCTTTGCATATATTATAGCTGATTCAGTTAAACGTTGGAACATGGCATCATCGTATGTGAAAAAAAATCCAATCAGCCAAATAGCATGTAAAGGACATAAGAAGTAACTGCAATTGCTTAGGAGAGCCCATAATCACTGCAGTATTGTAACCATCCACAAGGAAGCACGCAATTAAAGGAGACCTCTCTGACCCGGAGATTAGCTCAGCTGGTGAGAACAGGGTGCTAATAATGCATAGATCCCCATATGGGCTGTTCACTTTGGAGTTGGACTTGATGATCCTTGTGGGTCCCTTCCAACTTGGAATATTCTGCCACTTTTAGTGGACCTCTGGCTTTTTGTATTTTATTATTTTTTTTGAGCTGAAATATTACACCACTAAGTATGGAAAAGAAACCTAGAAGGACTTGATTTATTTTTTTTTTTATTTTTACTAAGTAGAGGCCTTTTCAGTCTACAGATTAATTCTGATCATTAGAAATAAAGCAATCATTTTGGATAGACTAAAAGAGTTCAATTTTATTGCTTTTCATGAATCTGGCTTTTCCTTTCCCAGGTCCCCATCGGTGGTAAATGGTGCTGTATTTGACTGAATGCTTTTCTGAGTGAACAGCATTTTACCCTCTCTTTTTCAGAGAGTTCATTTTTAGTGACTTGGAATTTGACCATCTTTGGGGCAGGGCTTGGCACAAAGGCAGAACCTAACAACAATCTGAATTTTCAGACTTGCATTTTCCAGAACTAGAAGGAGCTAAAGTGGCATAGAAAGAACCTGCTAATGTGGGATGAGGGGTCTGAGTGAATAAAAAGCTTTGTATGAGTCCTTCCCTTCTCAGAAGCCTGAGACAGATTGGGTTAGCAGGAATAGAAAGAAAACATCTTTCTGTTTTCCTTCAATAAACAGAGGTGATCTGAGAGTAAAGACATATTTGGAGGAGACAATCACATTCTGCAAAGCCTCTTTACCCCTGAGAAGCATGCAAAATCTGGAACACAGATACTCCTCAGCTCTGAGTGACATGCTAGACTTTGAGCAGCACAGCATTTTGGAACACAGTCCAATTACCCCTGAATCCTCATTTCCTGCTTTTTTGATAGACTTGCCATTTTTGGAAGAATAAGAAACTTCTAAACTTTACGAGCAATGATAAATTGAACTAATTTGAAAACTTCTCTCTTCAGATGGACTAAGGATGAACCTTCTGGGAGAAGATTCCTATTTGGATTGCTCACTGACCTTGGAGAAGGGGCAGGTGATATACTCTACCTTCTACTATTGAAAAATAGTGCTAGTGAAAAATGCAATTTTAGCACATTTGCAAAGTGCAGCATATTTGAGTCTTTTGCTGGCAACTGTACCAACTTTGTTCTTGCTCAGTTGGGGTACATAGGGCTCAAATATACTTGTACCCACTTATAAATTAATCTCAAATAAGTATCTTGAAAACAATTTTACTACCAGCTATGTCTTAAGGAAGCAGAATAAGGATGCAAAATGGCACATCAGAGACACTCTTACACATGCACACACTAGCATAAAGTTTTAACTTATATCTCATTGTGAGAATTATTTCTATAATACTAAGATTACAGGGTGTAAGATTTCTTGAAATTGAAACACAACAAAAAACAGAGCAGAACCATCAGGAAAATGTCCTAATTCAAACTATATTACATTTTAGGAGAAAATCTGAATGATCATACAACCTGAAAGTTAAATATAGTTTGGCAGATTGCCAGCTTCATTAGGCACACTTAAGGGGGATTTCTGTTATAATCTTATATAACTGATATGCACCCTATTAGAACAATCTGCTACTAAAAAAGCACAAAACCAATTACTATATCCAATATAAAGCAAAGGGACTACTTACTAAAAAAGAGGACAGGAACCTAGAGCATTGCTGCAAAGAAATGTCTTAATTTTTAAGAGATTCTGACTGTATTACTTTTTATGTCAAAAATAAAGCAAGAAATGCCAGAGTTTCTCCCCCATTCTTATAAAAATTGTCCCCATCTTACCACTTATCCTGATTTTTTCCTATTGATTTTTTCCTGGTTTCCCCTCTATTTTTTCAGTCCCTTGAAGCAATTCTTGGCAATACAACATAGCCCCATATGTCAGTACTGGCAGACAGGATATATCCAACAGCTGCTACATCCCTGCACCTCACTAGGACTTCACCTGCAAGGGCTCTGCCGCTTTCATCCTGGCTCCCACTCTTCTCACTTTCTCCGTCCAGCACAGCAGTTCTTCTCTGGCTGGGAAGGCCAGTAAGTGCTGCCTTTACAGACCTAGTGCAGCTGCCTCTGTGCTTTCTGGAGCAGCCAGAAGAGGCTGCCCTGACAGCAGAGTGGAAAGAATGCTTCAGCATAGTGAAAACAAAACTCTTCAGTTTGACATCCTGGGACCACTCAAGCAGCGACCAGCAGCAGATGATCAAAACTGGGCTGGTCACAATGAAAGGGCTCCCCAGCTATTCGCTTACGTGTCACTCAAGGGCACAACGATTATTTACTGCACTGCCACGAAAAAGCTGCTCCCTTAGACTGCCATCAAAACAGAATTATGCATTTCTATGCTACCCTGATGACATGGGAATGCTGCCCCAAGAAATGCAGAAGTGTAAGATTTTTACATGTATGCACACACAGACATATACACGAATATTTGCGCACACACACACACGTATATATGAATAAACTTTATTTCAGAGATAAACCAAATGCAATTACTGTGCATCTCCAAAAGGCAAGAACTACAAGAGACACAAGAAAGACACAAAATTTTGGCTACTTCTAATTAAAACTAGAAACATGAGGTTGCCCAATTATGCTCCCATCAGCATTCTCCTTTTCGTCAACACACAATATTATATTCACAAGGCCGCTGATTACGCACGCTCTATTCCAAATTATATAAGAGTAGAAGAATGTGAAAAACCCATTACCAACAATCAGTTCATTGTATGAGTTCATACACAGATTTCCCAGAATTTCCTACCGTTCTAATTGCTGTAGGGATTCCAGATTCATCTACCGGGCCAATCCCTGCATAATGTGGAGCTTTAATTACTGTAATTTTTTTTTCTTCTTCTGAGGATCTACAGATTGGTATTGTACTGGTGGTGGTGGTGCTGCCAACATTCTGAACATGCTGTGAGTATGTCTCTGTGGACTCTGTAAAGATAACATGACAGAAAATTGTGTAATGACACAATAATCATACTTGGCAGTTAAAACACACTTCCCTATTTCACTACATTGTACAAAGGCTGACAATCTTAATCATATACATATACATTATTTTAAAGAAATATCTTAACTAGGGATTTGCCCTACTTAATGTTACATTATCAGAATTATAAACTTATTTAAGGACCAGACAAGCTATTGAAGTCAGAATTAGAGTAGAAGTACTTTTTCACAACTCCTTGCTCAATAAAAAGAGAAAAAACTTCACAAACATAGCAAAATCTATTGAGAAAGGGGTATCAGCCTTTCTCCTATAAATCAAATTTTTGCACCTTTTCTACCCATTCCTTGGAAACCAGTGACATAATTTCAAATCTTGCATCCACTTGGCAAGTCTAGCAAACTATAGAAAATTGCTGTTCTGTAAGCACAGCAAACAGCCTTGCATAAAAACTTATGTCATATATGCCAAGAAACATGAAGTTTTGATGTATGAATATTTTTAAGAAAAAAATTCTAACATACAGTGTTCTTCCCTTAACATGTGTTGATCTGTTTATATGACTCCACATATAATCCATAAAAATGATTTTTGGTAACCTGGCACCTGCAGAGCAACCTGATGATCTACCTACAGTAACTCAGGTGAAGTGTGTAAGCTGCTACTGTTTTGTAGTGACTTGCAATATTTCTATCCTTCCTCCTCAAATCTTCCTTTATAATTAATGAAATTAATACATCACCCTTTCCTTCTAAAATGCAGACTATTTTACTTAACACAAAACACCTCAGTGCTGGGATGTGACATGAAAACTTTTATTTCTGCAGACAATACACTCTTTCCTGTATAAAGGAAAAAGAGCCCTACTCCTTCAGCAGCAGGTTTCAGTAAATTAGTGGGCTGTTATTACAAAGCAACTATTTAAGTGCAGGTACAGTGAAACAGTTCCACTGCAGGATAAATGAATGCAGGGAGTGAAAATATATGTTTTAACACTGATGGTGACAATTACAATTGACTTTCATGTGGCGTTAACATCCAGTGATTATTCTGAAGAAAAATACGAGTTGTAATATGAGCCTGCAAAAGGAGCTCCAGTGACTGAAAGCTCTAATTTTGAGTATTTCTGCTCACTCTCATTGCAGTGCTGGATTTGGCATGGCTGTTTCAGCTGTTTACTCAAGTCTGAAGTCCTGTAAATAATTCAGTGCTACACATATATGGCGAGGGGCAACTCTGTGTGGCAAATGTCTGAATATTTGGAACTTTTTCCCAAAATGCGTGATGTTAAATTTAGAAAACATTTTGGATTTGATCCTTCATTCTTCATAGACCTCAAACTGAGGCCACCAGGGGGATTTCTACATGAGTAAAGAGAATTAAATCAGGCTGTTACTGTGGAACACTGAACTTCAGCATCATACAAGAGTGAAAGTCATGGGAAAATACATATTTTAGGTATATCCAAACCAGTATTGATAGATCTTTAGATCACCAAGCTGAAAGCAATCAAAAAACCTAGAATTCTGGGATGTGGAGTAATCCATGTATACAGGTTTTGTTCTTATCATTATGATGACAGCAGCATTTGTCTAAGATGTTTCAGAGCAAGAACTGTTGCCTAATTTCCTTGCAAGCACAACAAAAATATAAACTGTGGGACCACATTCAAGTTACTCTGAATGTATAATCTTTTCTAAATATGCACTACACTGGTGGAAAAAGCAGCAAGTAAATTATTCTCTTGGCAAAACTGGATTATACTGGCAAAGAGCCTAAGGCTGATAGTATTTGCTTTGTGTTTAATTTTTAAATTAAAGATGCCCCAAAAAAATACATGAACAAATTTTAGATTGATATGGCTTTAGGTTTTTAAAAGCCCAGAGCCTCTCCCTTTGTTGACAGTATTTCTGCTGAAGAATTACAGAAGTTGTAGGGAGGAGAAAAGTACAAAGTGGGCCCTTGGTTTCTTAAGGCAAAATCCGAAAGGGCTGGACAGGTTGAGCTATTTTGATAGATGCCCTTTCCTTGGTAAAGCCAGTAGAAAACTGGCAAGAGGTTGGCTCACACACCTAGGTTATAAAACTTAATATTACCTCCAGTTTGGGATCCCTACTGTACCTAACAATAAATGCTATTATTATTTTTTTCATTTACTTCCAAAGGTAGATGAATAGACAATACCTTCATTATGGGCGTGGAGCACTCTGAAATTGTTTGCAGTCTTTGCCACATGTATCAAAATATGTTGTGTAATGTATAAAGCAAACATTCTGTGTGAGGCTTACCCATCATCCTGCCATGCTGCATGATAACAATGTTGGAATTGAGTGAAGCTGGTGGAGGGTAAGCTGAAGAAGGGGAAAAAGGCCTTTGAAAGTGACTCACTGGGCTGGCAGCAGTGCCAGAATTCCCATTCACTGTGATCTGAGCCTGAGAGAGACAAAACAATATCCCATTAAACTACACACAAAGCTCTCCGACTGCTGTCCCAAAGAAAGAGTGATGCAAGACTGTCATCCACACAACAATTACCAGTTGTCAGGTACACAGCCATAATGGCATCTGCATTCACTGAAACACAAAACTTATCACAAAGGGAGCAGAGCGTGTTCCTTATATTCCTTGTACCTCCCCTCCTCTCTCCTTGTGTGTGCTGTCTGTGACGCCTGCTGTCATGGGAAGGTGACAGAGAGATCACGGTCAGGGCAATGAAGATGGCACAAACAAGGTCTGCAGATGTCTGACAGCGATATAAAATGAAGATGGCAGTAAAAGCTCCCAACACTGTGTGACAAAGGCTGTCTGCCACAGATCCCTCACACCAAGAGACATATTCCCTTAGTGCACATGCTCAAGCACTATGGATATTAGTGGGAACTTCTGTGCAGACTGAAAGGAAAAGTCTCATTAGGACTAGCTGAAAAGAGTGACAAAAATTTCTTTAAAAAATGGAAGCCAGCTGGAGTGACTGTGGGATGCTGATATGTAATCTATCACATTAAAAATAAATAGCACCAATTAAAAAACCAAAACCCACAACCATAAAATGACAGAACAAAATCAAAAATGGGAGAGGTAAGCAAACTGGAAATTAAGCAGCCAGGACCTGGACCTGAAGCCATTTAGGTTTTAGTCATTAGAAGTACTGCACAAGAGGAAACTATGTGCAGGGTTTTGAATCCCAGCACTGTGGCTGTATCACTTTCAAGGGGAGTATTGAAAGAAGCAAAACTGAGATACTGAGAAAGCACTGAATGAAAGAAGAGGATAGTGACTATTTCAGCAGAAAAGCAAGGCAAGCTCTCTGCAATATCTCCTTTAATGCACAAGTGTTCTTTAAATCTGAATTAGAAGAACTACAAACTTTGCTCAATTTTATATAACAAATGAAATAAAAAATGAAATAAAACATGCTGCAGATGTAAATTAGAGACCACCTAAAACAGCAAAGCATAAATAAAACCAAATTAAAATGTATACTACTTTTATAGATAAAAATTAAATGATTCATGACCTTTTGTATGCATTTGTACTTTGGAGATTACTGAAGTGATTTGAAATTTTTAACATCTTGGTCTCCCATAGCTAAGAAAGAAAAACAATTTCTGGGTCCTATGCAGACATCACATAAACTTCTAGATGCATTCAGGGGCTTCTCATTTTGTGGATGCCTGTTTTCAGAAGTGAGCTGAAATGTTTCTGTTGTGGTGAAGTCTCCAGTGAAAGTTTTGTGTTTAAATGTCTCCTCTCTTAGTAAACTCTAGAACCAAAAGTAGGTTGGCTTTTCCTACGTGATCCTCTCCTTCAAAAAGAAACCAGGTTCAGAGATGTAAGACTAGAAAAGCTACAGAGCTCAAAGACAGCATTTCAAGAAGTATAAAGGCATGTTTTCAGATAAGGTTTCAAAATGAGGCCAGCCATCTCTCCTCTACTTCAGGTGTTCACCCATTCTCTTTTCCTACATATTGTCTTTGTGGGAAAGCTTGTTTCTAGGGAAGGCAGGTGCAACTACATGCAGAGCCTTACACTTTCTTACTCATTTACTATGGCTTTTGTTTCGCTGACAAGAGCTGGTGTGAGTTCTTTGCAGACTGAAAAGGTACTCCTGTGAATTTCTGCAATAAAAATTTGAGATATTCCTGAGAAGGACTTCACCAAATAGCTCAGTTAGATGGTAAGACACTTATACTAAGTAGTATAAAATATAATGAAAACAGGACCCACACAAATAGTTGAAGGACATCAGTCATAAATGTGTGTGTGGCATGTTCATATATGACATTTTTGGGTTTGCTTCTGAAGGTCTTAGGGAGAATCTCAGCTCAGCTGTAATTTCTTAGTTTGTAATGATTTTCTCCTTGAGGAAAGTGTCTGTGGAGGTGGCTGTTTCATTTGTTCATCTGATGCATCTTGCATGGCTTACAGGGTTGGCTATAAAAGACAGTTTTATGAAGTTTCAAAGGTCTTTTTTTCCCTTGGAATCATTAGGTAGTTACTGATATTTCAATCTGAGAATGTGACACTTTAGGTCCAGGCGACAGAGTTTATTCTCAGATTTTACAAGGAAATTATATCCTTTAAGATGTCTATTCATGAATTAGACATCTTGCTTTCCTAGCTCATCTCTGTGGGAAAAGAAGACAATATGGGAAAAAAACCCATTCAATCAAAATGCACCTATTTTCCAATTTACTGGGAAAATAATAATTTTTCATGATGTTCCTTTACCTAGCAGCCTCTATTAATTTTTTTTCTCCGGTATACTTAACCTGTCCTCCACTGCAAGTAGAGCCACTTACTTCTGCAGCAAGATAATCAGGATCTTGTAAAAATTCCTATGAGGTATCAGGTTTAAAATTCTCTAATTTGCCTGAGCATCAGAAAGAGTAGCTCTCAGGATTTCTGAATCAGGACAGAAGGATTTCTGAATCCATCTGGGACCGGAGCTGCTTTCTGACTTTCTCTCTGCTGAGACAGGGAGAAGAATTATGGATGTCTGAGCAGTCCTTTGCAAGAATGCTGCACATCACACACCTGACCTCAAGACACTGAAATACATTAAAATACCCCGAATCAACTGAAGCTCAAGACAGTCATGGAACTTGGGAAAAAAGCAAAAATCTAGTGTGTACTTCCATTTCCAAGTTTCCATTAGATTCCACAATTTCAAATTACATAAAAAAGAAACACCCTCCCCTCAAATTATTTTATAGGGAAAATGTTCATAGCTGAAATACAATCAGAAAAAAACAGTTTCCAAAACCAGCTGTTCTCTAATTTTAACTCAAATTTTAAGCATAAGCCCAAATAAGAACTGCAACTCTCATACTTTAGGTTTTCAAAGAATCTGTAATGTGTGATTAAAGGTAAAGAAAACTGACCACAGCTTTACCTTTAGGTCTGCCTTTTGCCTCAAATATTTGTCCGTTTTGCTTACTCAGCTCTTGCTGATGCTTCTTATAATTAGTTTTACAACTTTTTTGTCTAGTCTTATTAAGTCCCTCAAAAATAAACAAACATCTCCAATATGGACTTTAAAGCATGGTTATATCTTATGCAGGTAGAGTGGTGGACGGCCCAATCCTACATTACTTTTATCATTCTCCCAGTGGTTTTCACTGACAAAATCAACAGCAATCTGAGAATGAAGATCATTCCAGGATTAGAACCACTAACAACACGTGTGTGCATCACCAGCTTCCCCATCATTTTGTCATTTCACGGATGCATTTTAGCCATCTGGCTCTTCTCTGCAGAGAGTGGGAGACGATGACTTTTCTATACTGCAGAGCTGGGTTTTGCCAGCAGTTTAATTTCTGTGGGGCTCTTAGGACTCCTTGGGGACTTTGTCCTTAGGTGAGTGTCTCTTCATTTTGCTTTGTTCATTAATGGTGAACAAATGTTACGCTAATCCCTGCTATGTCTAAAAGAGAAAGTGGTGGTCAGACTTGACTATTACATAGCCTTCTACTGGGACGCTAGCCCAAAAATAGGAAAGACTAACTGTTCACTTTAGCTTGCAAAAAATGGTGCCCAAAGAAAACAAATACACTTAGCTGACAATTTTAGAAGTAGGCTACAAGAAAATAGAAATATTCCATGCTTCCCATAGCTAGCAAATGGTCAGGTAGTGACTCTGTCTGACTAGTCTGTACTGATTATAGTATCTTTGGCTACAAGTACTGTGTTGTATACAGATTCACATTTAAAGAAATGATTCTTTAAAAAACCCCAAAACTTTCCGAGCTGTGTGACAGAAGTTAAGAATTACAGCTTTTACATGCCCGCTATTAATATTATTTTTTAGCAGCATCCAGAGCAATGACAGCCAATCATTGTCTTTTCAAGGTGACTATGAGCAAGGTTGGACTCAAAATACCTTTGATAAATTATACACAAAACTTAAAAAATATATATGCAGTTTGTTTTTTTCAGGCTTGAAAATTACTGTATGCTAAAGTATTTGTATAAAGTTAGAACACTCCTGTGACCCAGTAAAACTTTGGATTCAGAACATCTCTCTGTTTTGCAATTCAGCAATGAATTGCTCAATTTAAATGAAGGCTTTGTTCTGACTCATTTTAATCATGTGGATAATCTCAAAAGAAATCAGAAGTGATCTGGGTTTGACCCAGATTCCATACCTTCTTTCTCCCCATATGTAAGTAAACTAAGGTATTGAAAAATGGATGTATGTAGAAAGTGTCTAACTGCATACTGGTTTTTCCCTTGACTTCACTAAGAGAAAAGTAATGGGACACTTGAATAATTCAAGATTATTTATGCAGTTCAGTCCTATAAGAAACTGTGCTTAGGAGAGGAAAAGGTTAATTAGAGGAGAGAAAACCAGTTTTGTGCAGTCAATCGTCATGGCTGGGGGAAAAAACTGCATTAAATACTGCCAACATTTACTGTGCATTTACAAATTACATTATTGAAATCTGCATCTCAGTGAAATCAAAAATGGTGGTAGTCCAGACTCCAAAAACCTGTAAACTGTTAACAATATCTTTAAAAAGTCTCTTCAAACTCCATGAAATGCCTGCTTTTAATACATTTCGAACAAGTATTTCTTGAATTTATTTTCTTTTAAGCAAAGTGTTTGATACACCTTAGCTGACCAAGCGGTGCAACTGTGCAACAAACATTCCCTACTCCCAAATCTGCCATGTCAATGATATTTTTTTTTAACAACTGTTACAAAATACTGTCAGACCATGACCATGGAAAATGACTAATAAAATACTTGTCTGTGTAATGGGATAACAGAACGGGTCGAATTCTGTTCCCCTTTGACAACCTGTTTGAACAAAATGGAGGAGGAAAAAAGGAAGCATAATTACATGAGAAGTGGCAGCAGTGTTGGTTAAGGTGGTGCCATCTGACACAGCAGACATCTGGCTCAAGGTTGGGGAAGGTGTTTCAGAGCGGTCAGTAGTATCATAGCTACAAGTCTGCAGCTCATCTAGAATGGCTGTGGAGGACTCACTCACTGTGCGGGAGGAGCACTCGCTCATGGCAGAGTCTGTGCTCACAGAGGCTGCTTCGTTCCTGTGGATAGCACTGTCAGGAGCTAGGAATGGGCATTTGTATGGAAACTGTGAGAGGGATGGGGGTTTATAAAAGTGTGAAGGCAAAAAATCATCAAGCGTTGGCAAAGAATATGGTACTAGATGGGTGCCACTGTCTGGTGAGAAAGAGGCTCTGTTAACTGGTACCACAGGAGAAGGAAGAGGCAGTGGAGAAGCTTCTGTTGCTGTTTGTCTGTGTGTCTGTGAAGCATTTACCTCCATCACAGGGGCAGTTACTTTCTGGTTTCCAAGCTGAGATTTGAGGAAAAAAAAAAAAATAAGAAAAGAAACAGATTACTTAATGAATAAAGAACTTTTCCCTTTGCCTCTTGCTGGGTGTAGGGGAATTACAGAAGTATAAGTTTTTCAGCCACCCGAGGAAGTTCACATTCACAAAGATTAGGAAATAAATCAACCATGCTCTATATTAGAGTAGGACAACATGAAAGAAATGAGTGCATAGAATACTAGTGGAAGCAATGCCAGAAACCATAGTGTGCTGAGGATGAATATTCATCATGTACTGCATATATTAATGATCTCCATTGTGCATTGAGAGGGTTCACACTATTTTATACTTCACATAAACATGAGGCTAGAGAATGTCACATTCATGTAGTTTTCAAAGCAAAAATGTATCTGCAAATCTGATCTTGGTAAATGTTACATTTTTTTCTGTGAAGGACAGGTATGACTTTGAAATTAACTGTAATATAAAGATGAGCAGGACTGCCATCTATACAGAAACATTATTGATAAATGTTCATATGGTCTACAAGTAATAGGTGGTGGAATTTTTTGCCTCTTGTGACCGAATACCTCTTCTCCACTGCCTCTCTAATAAAAATATTTGGATGATCTTAAAATTTCCAAGCACCCTGGAAGCACCCTGTCAACCTACTCTATAAGGTGTATGCATAGAAGTCTTTTCAACATTAGAGGACATAAGGATTGTTAGGGTAACTGGTATAAATCTGAGGAATAAAGACTGGGAGCACAAGAACAGGACATACTGAAACAAAACATGCCAGTTTTTTGGATTCAGCCCAGTTCCTTAAAAGTAGAAGGGAACAGCCTCATGAGAGTGCTTCTGAAAATGGCCACACAATGTATGAGCTTTATGTTCTGTCATTTCAAATCAGTCACAGGGCACTCGGTTTAAATTAGTCCTGCAACTAGCTTTTAGCATCTGCAACTTCTTTTTGAACTAAAGCATGTTGGCATCTAATATTTGTTAGACAGCTGCACAAATCCTTCTTTACTGCCTATTAACCACAGGCTTTCCATCAATTCCTAAGTATTCAAAATACTGCCTACTTCAGCACTAATGGTTTCATTGTTGATAGGGCTAAGGACATCTGGAATAGCTACTGGGAAAGAGTGTTTGGGATTTTAAATTTATGTAAAACAGAGGACAGTAAGACACTATATGCAGTAAATAATATTTTAAAAAGCAGCATTCAGTCATACATATCACATTGTTATCAGAAATATGGTTATTTCCTATGCTTAGACTAGGCAGATGTCTTTAATCATTCAAAAAATGTTTCAAGCCATCAGATTAAAATGCCATTTTGGCATTTTAATCCAAAATCTGAAAATATCTTCTAAAGCCCTTATGGAAGACTTGGAACACAACCCAGATTATGCTACTTACAAGAGGTCACTAGGGTTCCAGTTGCATAATTCTTGTTGAGATCAACTAGAATTTACACAAATAACCTTACTGAGGTCAATGTGACCATCACAATGAATAAGCATTACAGAAAAGAATCTTAAGTATGTGAATAGATATATATTATTTTTTCCAATTGATTCAAAATAAATTTTTGGCATCACTGGATCTCTAGGGTACATAAAAATAGGCAAAATCTGCTGTTAAAATCTGCAGTTAAAACAGTGAAGAAGCTTAGTCAAACAGCTTAAAATCCAAGTCTTATTCACAGTAATGTTTCAAATCTACACTTGAACACCACCCTCCTCCCCTCATCTTAATCTTTTCATAGAGGAAATCTGAACAGACTACCCCTCAATTAAAATAATCCATAACTGAATGTATCCTGTAACAGGACATAGTGTTTTCATAGAAATCTAATTTGCCAAAGGAAACTTCAAAAGAAGAATGGAATATTATTAAAAATAATGTAATGAAAAAATAGGATGGTTATACAGCATAATATATCAGGGATTTAAGATGTGTGCATTTACATACACATATAAGAAACTGTAATTTCACTTCTCAGGCACATAAAGGGGAGACAGTCATCATTCATGATGATTTTCATCATCTGCGTCAACAGATGATCGTATCAACATCTTCAGCAAAAGACAGGAACCAGGAGATTATGCTGTAAATATGAGGCAGAGCCAAAAAGAAGCTCTGAAGTTCTTGAGACCACTTATCCTCTCAGCATCCCCAAAAGAAAAGATACGTATGACTGAGCCAAAATGTGTAAATTAATCTCTATATCGTTAAAATAACAGGAAATTTTGGGGAGTTGAGAAATCTAGTAAAACTTCTGGTTCTGAACTGAGATTTCTTGCATGCTTGAGAAAAGGAGGGAGTGACAACACAAGGACAGATATTCAGGGTGCATCCAGAGAGCTACTGAATGATTTAAAAAAATTTAATTCACTGTGTTTGGAAAATAATAGCTGATTTCATCAAGCCAAATTCTTAAAAAGAATATAAAGTTATTATTCTTACAACACAGACATAGAATGCAGCAATTCTATGTACTGATTCCCAACATGGAGCTTATTGGCTTTGTAGAGTAGAACTTCTCTTTTGCCTGGCTCTAGAATACTTTTGTATGTACAATCATCTTTCTGGGAAAGAGTGGCTGAAATTGTGATATAAAACAGCATTGTTTTTGAAAACTGATTTACACCACTTAAAAGACATGGAATGTTGGTAATCTAAAACACATGCAACAAAAAAAATCCATATTTTTCACTGTGCATGCAATCTCATGTATGAATCATACTTTCTTATATTTTTCACTGTGAAAAATATGAGAAAGACAAGGCTGAATGCATTCCAGAAAAATTTTAATACTGGTTCCATTCAGCATGTTTCAGATTAGGTTTGTTACTGATATAGCACAAGAAATGCTAGCAGAAGTCAGGCAGATTAAATGCCAAACAAGTACTTAATGAATTAGATTGATGAAAAACTAGCTAGACTGTGTGTCTGTCTTGGGTTGTGCAGCAACACATGAGAGATAAATGTCATTATTCTTGATGTGAATTGGAGGTCTGAAGAGCAGCCTTCTGCTGCAGCTTTCTGCTGGTCCTTTGAAATCCTTCTCTTCCATCAAATAGTAAAATGTGGGGCCTGAAGAACACAGTTGGTATCAAAATTATATAAAGTAGATAGGTGACCCTAGTATGGATTTCAAAATCAGTCATCTATTGTTTTAATGCAAGATATGCGGGGGGTGGTGTGAGATTACTAATGACACCAGAGTACTGGCCTTGCTTCAACAGTCAAGACACAGATAAGGAGACTCAGAGATAAGTGAATAAATTCATTGTGTTAATACATAGCAGAGTTTAGTAATCAACAATCAAATTACACCCATACATTTGCATAAATGGGTAAAAATACCTCTATTTTTAATTATTAAAAGCTGATTTCAAAATGTCCAAACTAATGCTGCAAATTATATTCCAATGGCCATTTTTCTACCCAGCAGTCTTATTCTAAACTCAGTATAAGGAGGTGGAGTTTAGCCCTTGTCTAAAGTGATGCAGAACTTAAAATGAAAAATATATACTCAATTTTCTTTGCTTCACGTCTGCCCCCAGAATGCTGAAACTGGTTTTCTCTTTCTTCCATATGACTCTACATATTGCCAATATCTAGAACTCAGAAATGTACTAGATGAATTGATTTAATTGATTTAGATTTTTTTTTTTTAATTCCAGGTTTATTTTCCTTGATGCACATTTCTACAGCTATAAGGTTGTCCATAGAATCACTTTCATAAACATCTGCTATAGAAGTTTTACTCCTCCAGGACATTGGGACTAAACCAAGTGTTCAACTCATCTGAGGAATTTAAATAACAAAATAAATGCTTTGCAAGTTCAGTTTCAGAGAGTGTATCTAGAACAATAGGACACTTAGGAACCCAGGAAGAAAACAATCAAAAAAATATGTGATTATTTCCAAAGAAGCAGTTCAGAATTCTTCATCAGTTTATAACTTACAAGAAACTTATACGAACAAAGAAAATTTAGCTCCACTGGTTTCATACTAACAAATAAAAATTTCTCTGTTGACATAGACACAGTTATTTCTCCTGTATCTGCAGTATGGTAGAAAGAAGCAGCATCTCTTGAGAGTGTAATAATGTAAAAAACCTTAATACTGAGTAACCTGAATGCTTCTATTTTCATATATACTTTTAAGGGGTTTAACCTTTCTCTGAGTAGGAGTGTTTACAAAATGTCACTCAGTGAGTCAGAGCACACTTCTGCTTGCTCCTGAAGTTTCAACAGATGAGCACTGAAATTAAGTGCAAATAGGAGCACAAACACAGCAAGATACATTAAAGTGGACCACACAAGCTCCCTCTGGGCTGTGTATTTCCATACGTTGTGAACAGAATACAGTTGTACATGTTGGCTGGACACAGATACCCCCCCACACACAGTATTTCTTCTTTACTACTTCTTAAGAAGTGATGATTACCTGATTTTACCTTATTTTCCTTCACATACATAAACCCAGATGCAGAGGGAGAGCTGCACCTTTCTAAATATATTTGCTTTTTGAGAGTTTCTCTGGCAGCTTTAAACACTGCTGGCAGGCCTAATTTACAGTCAGAGAGCCTCCTCTGAGGACAAAGCTTGACATACAACCTATAAGATTCATGTAGAAAAGTATTTTAACCCCTATACAAAGTCCTGTAGAGCTTGCAGATCTGAAACAATTTTAAAAATTAAAATACTATCCTGCATAGTACACTGAAAGTTAATTTTCTATGTGAGAGAAATCGTGAACTTTGCAAATACTATGATATATAGCACTAAAGGGATCATAATATTTGGCCATTAGCTGGAACAGTTTCAAGGTTTTAAACTGAGATCTGAGTCAGAAAACAAATATTCATTTTGGGAACTCACCTGATGCAGAATTTTACACCACCTCACATGCTGACTTGTACTCTAGTTTTAGTTATGTATTTTAACAAGGAGCTACAAAACCCACTTGCTCCATGACTCAATTGTGATGCCAAATACACCCCGTCATTAGAATTTATTTCAATGTTGAACATCAAAGAAAATGTCAGATAAATTTTGCAGATAAGAGATCCATAAAAGGATACAGCTAGAAAAGATGGCTACATGCCTTAATGATCTATGTGATCAACTGAAATTTTTCTCATTTTATTCAGAGCAACCCAGTTGCCAAATTTCTGATAGTACTTCCCACATACTGAAACCAAGGAGAAGGCAGAAAACTAAGTGCAGAACTTCCAAATAAGCCACAGATACTTTTCTGATTTTTTTCAGCTCGAAGTGAAACTAAAAAAATTCTAAATTAAAAAGAAAATGAAAAATGTGTTTTGACTTTTAAAATTCTAAAAACAAGCAGCTAGAAGATTAATTGTTTTTAGTTCTTCTGATTAGACTTTCAGTATTACTCTTGATCATGAAAAGGTATTTCCCCTAATGCTTGTTAGCTATCATACTCTAGGAAGAGCCACCTGAGCAGATGCATCACCTACAGTACACTAATTTCCTATGGTGCATTTGCACTCCATGAAGTCCTCACAGAGGAACAAAGAAGTCTGCCTTCCATCTCAGCTAGGTTTTGTTTTTTTTTTCAATAACCTTCCAAAACCTTCAGTTATTACTCATTTAATTTTGTTCATTTTTTGATCCATGTGACAGGTAGTTTTACCCAGAAAACAGAGATCTAACTTTGGTAATGTAAGTATAACTAAACAGATGGTTATTAAGTGATTCATGAAGATCTAAAATAAAAGATGGAAAAATTAAATATACCACATGGCATTCTGCAGCCTGTGAAGAAGGAAGAACTGTAGACTTTTGTCCCAAATCCTTTGAAGACATCTTTGAAGTGTCTGGAGAAATACTAGGTGGATGATCTTGGATTTCAGGCTCTGCTTTATTGTCAGGGGTGGGAACTATTTGAACGGAAAGAGATGCTGTGTGTATCTCAGGCATGGGGGTACAGGCAGGTGAGATAGGCCTTTGTGAAAATACTGGCTCTTCAACAGGCTTGAGCTGTTGCTGTGCATTACAAGGAATGCTACTTGCCGGGTCACGTGTCCGGGTTAATTTCAGGGTAGATATCTTACGTTTTTGAGACTGTTGCCTTTGGCCTTGATGGAGAGTAGCACTAATGCCAGCTACTGTGCTTTTGTCTGCACTGGAGACTGAGGTCAGTGGTTTAATGATTTTTTGTGCATAGGACACACTTGTGTTAGATATCTCAGAAGACATTGTCTCCTGAACAGACGTCTCGCAAGAGTAATAGGCAGTATCTGTGGGGAGGTGTTTAGCTGGACCAGCAGTTACTGCCTGGAGATTAATTTCGTTCTCGTGATTAGTTACTCTTCCTTTCCGAAAGCTTTCTTTTCTAGGAGGTGGCAGAGGTGCCTTATTTGCCAAAAGCATCCACACATAGCAAAATAACATTGAAGAAGAAACAGAAAGAAAGTAAATGTTAGTAGGAGATATAGTTCAGTTTTACTTTCATATTTAAGTAGAGGAATTAGCAAATTAAAAGGCTTCATCTCAATATTGCTAAATTCAATGGACAACTAAATTGGATCCCACCACCATTTCCTGTGCGACTTCTGTTTAATAAGCCAGATGTTCCATTTGCTCAGACCAAAGTGGGATCAGAAAGGATCAGAAGGGAGCCCACAATCATTTGTTTTCTTTTAAAAAAACAATTATTACACTGAAAAAGAATTGTTGCTGTGAAAGCATTCGGGTATGTAAGTACTCCATGATCTTAGATAGCAAACAATTATTCACAAATAACACACATATATGAAACACTGAGCCTCTTTAACTTTTGAATTAAAATAGTAACAGAGTATTAAAATGGTGTGTTGATATTTTTTTGACAGATAAAGATGTTTCCAAGTGTGGGGGTGGTTTTTTTTGTTTATGTTGTGCATGTTTTGCTTGATTTGTTGTTGTTTGTTTCTGTTTTTAGTGTGCTGTAATTACATTTTTCCGCAAAACAGGCAGAAGCATTTTCTACCATATAATTAATACATTTTAATTCTCAGATATTTTGATGACTGGTGCATTTTTCCGAGTGTAATCTATTAATAAATACTCTTTGAAGTCTGTGAACACTCCTGGAAAGCTTTTACTGGTATGACCTCGTTTTATTTAGCTGTCTGTCTCGCTCATTGAAAGCAATTTCTGGTAATTAACCCGGGGGCATACAGCCTGTGTGGAGTATGCTTAATCTGTGCAGCAAACCAGTCCGTAGTGACCCATATGAACAGGTGATTCACACTATCTGCAAGACATCAGCACAATGTTTCATAGAGTTATCCCATCTATACATGCTAACGCCCCCAACAGTGGCATAGCATTAAATGTGTCCGGTTTTACCTGAGTTGGTGATTTTTTATCCTGTAGATTTGGCCGCACGCTCCTAAAACCTTTTGCTGAAAGAGATGAACTGCTAGCGTCTCCATTCAGTGTCTCTCTACTGCCATTATTGTAAGATCGCCAAGCTTTTGTAAATGGAAAAGAATGAAACAATTTTTTTGGTGTGATTAGTACAGCTCCACTGCTCTCCACACAGCAACCCAGCCATTAAACAAGCTACACAACTGACAATGATGCTGTTTTACCATGGAAGTTAAGAGCATGGCTAAATATTCATCTATAAAATTTAGAAAATTCAAGCATTGACAACAGTCCTGGTATTGGGCAGTTCTAGACATCTACAATGTTCATGCAGACTATGGATTTTAACCTTGAGTGTCCTTTTGAGATGCTGGTGCATCAGCCCCTCTATAAATCAGGCTCAAGTTTTTTCCCTTTCAGATTATGTTCTTGAACTTCACGGCTGCATTGGATTTTGAAAAACATCCCAGCTCATGTAAAATTAGCTGGTCATGGCAGTTTCACACAAAATTTCACCGCAGTACCCAATTAGTTGTTCCACCAGTGTACTTTATTGCCAAATCTGAACGACACCTCTATTTTCCAACCAACCAAACATGTTTTTTTCTCTATCCTCAGACCTGGAATGCCCTCAAAGCGTTGGCCAAACATAGAGGGAGATGTTGAAGACAAAATACTGTCAGAGGCTGGGAAAAGTACCACATTATGTGAGCAGGCTGCTAAGTGAAGGTGGGCAGAACTTGCAATCCTGGGTAAGGCTCTAAAAAGGAAATAGCAAGTACCACTGAATGGTGCCACAGAGATAAAGCTAAAGGTGGCAAATTAGCAGTCTGTTTTTTCCCACACAATTCATTCTTCTGACAACATATTCTGTGCTACAGGAAATAACTGCTTTCAAATGAGACCTGGATTTGAGGGCTTAAGCATTAACAATTAGGATTACAATTTCAGTGGTGCTTTCCTTGAAGAATGAGGAAGTATGGAGTAATGAAATCAAATAAATGGCTGATTGTTGTAATTCATCCACTTACATGGTATAAATATATACATAAATAATACAGTGTTTTATTTACCTGAATCTGGAGACTGAGAATCAGACCCTGAAAAAGAAATATCCAATATTAACTTGTGTTAGAAATAAACTAATTTTGTAAAAAACACACAGGAGTATTGATAAGAAGCAGTTCTGCCTGTCTAATGAATATTTAGTATGTTTTAATTTTTATGAATATTTTTAGGTAAACGATCTTCATAAATGATTTTTTAAAGTTAATCTGGCTTCTGACAATCAGTTTACAACAACACTCAGAATCCTTTCCTCAAGAAGAGTTTTTAAATAAAACTTTTCTTAAAAAAAAGGTTTGTAATAAACCAAACCTCTTTTTCATGCTTTGTTATCTTGAAAAAAATACAGATGTGAGACCCAAAACACATATCAAGGGCAAAATTAATATATTAATTTACTAATTTACAAATACAATTATTTTTTTCCTAAGTAGTCTTGTTTTTTTCTTTCATGAATGGCTACTAAACATAGGCAGAGAGAAATTCAGACCACTTTTTAAAAAGCATTGTAAAAGTAATACATCTGTCAGTGTAATAGAAAATAGTGCTACCCTTCTTCTTGCAAAGTAATATGGCAGGAATGCATAACAGTATAAAAAAGCCGTTCAGAAGTTGCATCTCAGTGTTAGTGGTTATACCTGAGGCCAATAGGTTTGGAGAACTCTGAACCCTCTTCACAGCTGTTAATGTGACAGACATTGCAGCACGTTTGCGAGCACACCCACCGCTATCTGGAAGCACAAAACAATACAGACAGCAGCCCCAGACAAAGGGAGCAAGCACATGCAACGTATCAGTGTGAGGTATGCCAAACACATATGAAAATAAGCATGCAGTTAGGGAACTGCTGCAGAAATGTGTGAATTCAAAGGTTTGGCAGATAAGCAGAATACATAAAATTTCACAGGCTTTAAACAACAATAAACCTCATAGAGAATAAGTGAAGAAAGCTTTATTTAATACTTAATCCACTAGGGAAATATATACACTCTGTTACCTGAAAGACTGCTTAATTACAGCTAATTAGTAAAAGCAAACAAGTAATCAAGAAAAAGGCTTAAGCATTCCAGAATAATATTAATCAATAATCTGCACTGTAAAATAATTTCATTGTATGCATTAAAAGGACACCATTCATAAACTAAGCTCATGTTTGATCAGCTGACAAAGTACTTTTGTTCAGTCTTTTGGATCCTTTATGCTCACAAAACGAAATTACTGGTGAAGGCATACATTTCTTTTTCATTTGATGGAAAGAAATTGGCTGTCCTTCTTTCCATTTTTTACCTAATGCAAGTTACAAAATGAAAAAAAATGTATATCTGGAACTGAATAACATTCTGAGGAAATGACCAGAAATCTAAAATTATTAAAAAAATTAGGTATAGGAAAAAACCTTCCTTCTGGATCTTGCCCAACTCCTTTCTTTATTCTACTTCTCTCTCACTGGAGCTGCCATTAGATTTTATAAATACTTTCTTATTATTAGAAGACAGCTTTCCCACAACTTAGCTTTTTAGCAACTCTAGCATAGTTGTAAAAGAAAGTTAAAAAATATTCTTACCAATTATATTTAACTAAAATATTTTTCTGCTCTTCACTAAAATAATTATTTTAATTTTAGTATTTGATGCTACTGAAATTTCTTTTAGTACTTCATTGAAGTCAAGACCTACAAGTATGATAAATATCTTTTTTATTTCTGCAACCTATGACATGGAGTTTTATAAAATTAAGGTCTTAATGAAGACCTGCAAACTATTTGCAGAAAATATTTTCTATAATAGCAGTAATTTGAGCCACAGAGTCATCTTAAACCCAAGTCTGCAAGAGAAGTGGGCTTGTGATATTTCTTTGCTCATTCCAATATTCCCCTGCTACTTCAATATTTCCAATAGTCCCCTGGCCACAGGCCCTGAAGGAAATGCATTAAGTAGTTGTTAACACTGGCAAACATCAGAGCCACTGCCTTAGATGTAATTGGTACCAAAGACTCATTGTCAATTCCAAGGCTCAAGGCAAAAGGCCAACTTATTTCAGCCAGCAGTAGTTGAAAGCAATACATTACCTGCCATTAATTATTGGCATTGTACATGTGAAACAAAGGCAGTGGCTATCAAATCTGCACATGTGTTTTGGCTTGCTTACATCAACATGGAATGGAAATGGTAATTAAAGTTACATTTTCCATTCTTGTGCTCCTTTTCCCCCACCATCGACATACATCAGAGGTAATTCCAATGAGATTTGATGATGTGTTGATACTGAGGTTCTGTTCTAATCTGAATATTGGCAGACTTTGAAAGCATACTACATTTAATATAAGCTAACAGGCAAAAAAATTTGTTATACTGTCACAGTTCTTATTCAAACAAAGTGGTAATTTATTTGCAATTTTTCAAGAGCTACCTTCCTGAATTTCATAATAGAGAAAGTGAAGACAACGAGAAACTGATTACAAACATTTAATTATTTTAACTTCAGGAAATTCTGCTTCAGTTTAGTTTTTAATGTAACTCAGCTGAGTCAGAGTTTTACGCTTTGTGGACCCATAATCTAGAAAAGTGTTTTGGCTTCATATAAGAGAAATAAAACAGATTGCAACTGACTACATACAATATTCACCCCTATATATATAATTTATATATATTCACAAGTCTGTACCTGCATTATTTATCAGTATCTGTACAAAATAATGAGATATAATCAGAATTCAGCTAAGACATAACCTCACATTTATATAATACTGAGTTGTGCAAAATTTCTAGTAGAATAGAAATGTGTGTGGGTAAGCACATATTGATGCATGATGGATTCCATCCTCTCATCTATGTTCAGGCCAGGCTCCCAGTAAGTGGAGAATTAAGAAACTGTAAGGGAGACTGAATTAATGATCTTCTGCTCATTTCAAACAAATGAGCAAACTATAAGCAATTAATATTACACAGCTGTTTCTTCAGGAACAAATGAGATTATATGAAACAATCTATACAAAATGTTTGTGTATATAAAAGATACGTGTGCGAATATGTACACACACACACACACTTACAATTCCTTTGACCTGAAAAATTCTTCAGGAAGGAGTCCTGTCTTCACTAGGAATTGCTTTAACATTGAAGAAAAGGAGACCCAAATCAGCTAAGTTCTGCAGGCAGTGCTAGAATATGAAGTCGGGCAATAACTCACTAAACAGCTGCCTAAAATGTAATTGCAGCTTCTTTTTCTCTCCCTCTCTTAATTCATTCCACATTTAACCCTTTCTCCTAAGTTCATAGCCCCAAGAGGTGCTTCCACTAGTGACAGCATCACTCTAAGTGAGCTGTATCTGTATTTGACAAATAATCTACTGGTTGGGTCCTGCCCCAAAGCAAGATGGAGATGATTCAAAACACCATAATTTCATTTCTTCTTAAAAACACTGTTTCAGAGAGTCAGTACAAGCAGTGGCATAAACAAAGGGAAAAAAGAAGAAAGGATGGTGACCTTGTGTGAAGAGGTGAGAGACAGGAGCCAGGGGCAAGAAATTTTTAGAAAGCTCTTAAAGCTTACTAAAGAAAAGAGAAATTACACCCAAACATCAGGTTTGCTGATTGTTATTAAATTCGCTGTACTTGTGAATGGTATAATTTTTCCTTTTGTCTGCACAGTGAATTCAATTCTAGAAGTCTTTAGACCAGAGCTTCTTACTCCTCATTTGCATTCTGACCTTTTGAGCAAATATATAGTGCTGGGTCCAACTGTCCAAGACAGACAAAGCTGCTGCCTCTCTATGTCCCCAGGTCCAGCCAGGAGGGGGACTGGAAATGCATCCCCAGCAGACAGATGTCAACACCACAGCCATACATGGCTGGACACACAGCTCCAAACACACTAACACGGCACAATGGCCTCACCACCCTCCCCTCCCTGGCTGAAGTTCCACTAGGGAGAATTGCACACGTGGACAGAGTGGATCCTTCTAGCAACTGGGCTCAAACATCGAGTCTGCCACTCATTCCATGCCAGGCTCTCCTGTGACAGCCCTGGGAGGGCCCTGGACAAGGGAGACCCTTTGTTCCTTGTGTCTCCTCAATTTGTGCTCTTGTCTCCCTTGTGTCCCTGTGCTCTTCCAGGCTTACAGAGATAGACAGGCCTTTGATGGCTCCTGTGATGGGCCTGCGAGCATCCTGGCATGGCAGGCTATTACCTGGGCTTCCTCTCCTTCCACTCTTTCTCTGAATTCTTTTTTGGATGTGCTGACCAGTTATTTACCACATAATCTACACTGACAGGTAAACCTATTATTTGGTTCTTTCATGCTGCTAAAAAGTAAACTTTTAGTAGAATGCCTGGAGCTCAAGCCCACCTAATTTACTTCAGTGATCTAAAAGTGGCTTAACAATCTGTTCAGGAACTCTGCACTGACCCAAGAAATTATGTCTTGTCTCCCAGAAAAAAATGTAAGGGAATAGTTCATGTAATGACTTCCATTAATAATTTTAACAAACAGATAATATTTGCAGTCTTCCAGAACTGCATACTTTTCACTCTTGGCTGTTCTTTATGTGCTTCATCTAATGCAAACAGCTAACTTGTTTAATAACTTTAAAATCAGATGCATTTATCAAGAATGATCTGTGTGAAATTCAGCCAAAATATTTACAGATGGACACTAAGAATCAGTTTTAAACACTAACTTAAATCCATTTATTATTCTCAATGCAATTAGCTCTCCTATGACACGACCTATGCATGCACATATGTATAATTAACAATAAGGACATTTATCCTATGTTTTAATCTGATGTGAGTTTCAGGGCAGCTCATGTTTTCTGTAAGTTAGTTGATCAAGCAACCAAGTTAATGATGTTCATCAATCTGTAAAATACCTGAAGACTTATTGAAGAAACCTCCTAAATATAGCTTAAAATATTATCCTGTTGATGATTGCTTAGTCTGGGTTTAAAAACACGCACACATTCTATGAGACTACTATTTTAAAATTATGACAACATTTGAACTCCAAAAGGAAGCATGAGCCAAAGTACCCTTGATACTTCTGAAAAACCTCCTCTATATCTTACCTCTGTTTCTTTGCTTTCGCAAAAATGTTTCATTGCCTTATGCTGCTGAATATTCCCTCCTAACATGTGGTACAGAATTAACATCAAATGCTGAAAAATCCCTCCCATATATGGTAGAGTACTGCAAACCAAAGCTCCTCAAAACATTTTCTCTGTAGACAAAAATATCTTCCGGAGGGTTTGCTGAGACAGACTGCCAAGTCTGCAGCCACAGGGAACGCTGGATTAGAGGAGCCCAGTCTTAGCAGTAGATTTACTTTTTATTTATAAAGCTGTATATACATTAGCTTTGCCACTCCACCAGTTACTGGCATCAAACTACAGAGCTCACTTATCTACAGGACTCATTAATGAAACACATAGTTTAAAAACAAACTAGTGGCGAACCAATAGCATCTGATAACCTTCAATTGCACCATGTACAAATTTCTGTTATAAAGCAGTGAAATAAAAACCAACACCAACCCAAAACAAAGCTGTAGCACTCATGTTTGAAAGACAGTGTAGTGCAGAAAGAAAAAATAAAAAAAAAAGAAAAAAGGGGAAAGAAGGATATAGCTAGACCAGAACAGCACACAGAACATCTTCCAGCTGAGTCACTCTCTCTTAATGAAGTAATGCTTTAGATGGGTGCAAGGATAGGTGCAAGATGTCCACTTTTACACCCTACTCACAGGTTTTTAATGGTTTTTTACAGTCAGAAAACAATCTATATTAATAGAACTGATAAGAAATGCCACATTTTTGGTCAATGCCTTCCCTTCATTGCAGCTGATAACATGCACATTAACATCAAGTATAAAGAAGATGAAAAAATGTTTTCACTGTCCAAGTGCAGAATAGATTAAAGTTCAACCTAAAATCATGGACTCTTTAAGGAACTGGAGAGGATTTCAGGTGTGTTCATGTCTTTAAGGTCTATTTTTAAGACTCTTGTGATCAGAAGATTCTAAATCCCCAAGAGAAGTCATTCAGTTGCAGATTATTTAAATCTTATGTCTTCTCTCTTGAGAATTCATAACTTACAACAAAAATCTTAGTACAACATCAAATACAGTCATACTTCAGGGCTCTGGTAGCACAAACTGGCAATTTACTTCTTTATTCACATTTTTTGAAGCAGGAGCTATAAAATTACCTCTGTCATATGATTTTGATTTATATGATGGCAATGCACAATGTAATTATAGTATGATGATTAGCAAAGTTATGTCTGAAATTACAGTTCAATGAAATAAGTCATATTTTAGTACTACTTTAATTATGCAGACTAATATGTTTAGGAAAGACATCATTAAAAATTAGAGAGGATGGGACAAATTTAAAATAGTACTTTTATAAATGAAAAATACACACACCACCTTGGTCAGCATTTGAAAAACAATTAAGAACAACCAAAACTTTGGGGAACAAAAGTACACACTCAAATGAGGAAGTTAATTTCTCCTGCTTATTCTATTTACAAACGTAGTGGTTCAAGTGAGCCAATATATTTTAACTTTGTACTAAAAGATATGCTTAAAATATGGATCCTACTGAGTTCCAGTTGTCTGAGACAACAGGAAGCCACGAAGCTGGATTAATACAGTGATCTAGATAATGGCACCTATAGCACAGAAAAGTTAATCCCTTTGATTTAGAGCATGCTGCTGAAATTCAGACTTCAAAGGTAGTTCTGGTCCTCGGGTCCCACATATCATGTCATAGTGAAACACTGAGGTCAATGATAAAGCCACTGCTTTGGAAAGGATGGATAAGTCTATCTTTGCACCACAGTTAATCTGCAAACCAGACAGTTCACCTATGGAGTCTAAAAGAGCTGTCTGCAACTGAAAATTTACACCTGAGTGAAGCCAGGATTTCAGCAGTCTGTTTTCAAGGGGCCTATTCCCTCTCCCAGCACAAAGAGCAGCACTGTCTTATTGGCTTCAGAAGTTCAGGAGCAAATATTAGTACCCTACCATAGATCTTGAAGATAACTTTCTATAGAGTACTTAATTTGGTCAATAAATCTGTTACAGCAACTTGAGAGAAAACACAAAGCACTGTAAGTAGAACATATCCTCAAGAATATCCTCAGCTGATATGCAAGTGCAACTTATAATACAGGGCAGTGTTTATATGCCCCCTAATTTAGTGACAGTAAAGAATGGAAATAAAGGATTTTTAAAGCATGTGCATTTTCTTAGGAAAATGTGATGCTTTAACAACACTTTTCCATCACTGTTATATCCTCATACTATGTATTTTCACATAAAACATACACACACACAAAACTGATACTATTAAATTAAGCACAGAAGGCTAAACATGCACTTTTCTTTTGTGTATCCATATATGTCCATACATAGAAAAACATGTATGTAAATTTTATATATGGAATACAGATGAACATAAGCAGGCATACTATTAAAGTATCTTGCTTATTTTGAGTTCAGCACCAACTAAAGTACAATTTGTTTATGAAAATTCTAGTAAGTTTGGGATCTTCTCTGCTCACAAAACAACACATAAAAAAATCTCACAGATGCAGCATACCTGTGTTCATTTTGACACTGGAGGTTTTGCTATAAAAGTCTTCAGATTTCCTGCGGAAAATAAAATGATCTATTAATTTGCACAGGACAAGTATGTGTGGTACAAAATGGCAGCAGGACTTTTTGGAGGGGTGGAGAATCACTGTGATACAAATGGCAGTCCTATTTTAACACTGCTTTAATTAAACTGGTATTGCTTGTCCTTCCAAAGTTAAAGATGAGCTGTCACTTCCATTATAAGTCACCTTATCTTCAAGTATTTAGTAGTTTTCTTGTAAATATTTGCTCTAGGATAAAAAAAACTAGAGATTAACTTCTGGTCCTGAAACTATAAACTAAGAATATTTTCCATACAGGAATGTGGAAATATTTTTAAAAGCTGCTTATAAGGTTTATTCACTCCTTTGCGCAAACTAGAAGATGTAAAGAGTAGTTCTCTCCAAATATTTTCTAAGCAGCCTAAGTTACCAAGTCTTTTTTAGTGTTTTATAAGCAGATTGGTTGTTTTCATCCAGTGATTTAATATGTCTCCCCAGACAACACTGACATTCTTAATGTTGCTTGATGTATTTCCATGCACAGAATCAGGCCGTGTCTTGGCACTCACAGGAATCCTTACCAAAACTCCTAATATAACCACTAGGTAGCAAATCAGGTCACTATACAGCAACACACTTTTTAAAGATAGTAACTTGCACCAAAATAATGTAAAGCGCACACGAAGGTTGATTCTATTTAGATATCCCACCTCTATACAGCACTTACAAACAAACAAATAGTAAAATGAAACAAGTCAAACCACAGCTGCAGAAAACTCCAAACATGCTAGACTAACAGCCAATTTTAACCTGATGCCATGGGACAAAGCAGATGCTGTTTTTCCACCTACTGACAGTTTATGCCACAGCTTTATCTCAGAATAAAATGGCATCTGTATCCTAGCCAGTCTTCGCTGTATTGTTACATATACACTGTCCAATATAACCTGCTTTAGCAAATGGGCAGACACACTAGAGGCCAAAATACTGAGGGCTGAAAAAAAAAAAAAGAAAAAAATTCATTCTCCCACTGCATTATTCCCACATCCAGTCCAAGATGAAACAAAGGGAAAATCAGATTTTGTAATGTAATACAGCTTCAAAAAAATTAATTAAAAATATAAATTGCCTGGCTATGTTGGAGTAAGCTGGAAGGTACACATGAGGGATCATTTTTATGATGGGAGACTAAAGGCACTAATTAACACAAGTAAACAAAATATCAAAACAGAATTCCAGTTTCAGTTCAACTCAACAGGAACCCTGAATTAAAGGTACCTCTGAGGTAACATGTATATTTCCATATTCCCTTGTATTCATAACAAGGCCAGACGTTCCACTGCTCAAAAAAATTACTGTTTTTCAGAAACTATCTGATCACTGCTGCTATTATTCAGTCAGTTTTGTGACAAATAAAGACATATGTTAAATTTCTTGAGAACAATGGAAATAAATAACTGGCAGTGAATGAAGTTTTACAATAATATTTTTATGCTGCAGCTATCAGCAAACTACTGCTGTGAATTTTAAAAAGATCTTATAAAAATTAAGACTTTTTTTTTTTTTGTATATATGGTCTCTGACTGAAATTTTGCATTTCTTTAACTGCTACAGAATGTTCTTACAGCCTCAAATTCCCACTGCATTTTCAGACTGCTAGGGGAGACACCATTTCCAAGCCTTCTTTTAGCTTGGAACTGAATCACTGACTGTATCACATATAAGATACGAAATGCAACATGATATTTATCTTCAGACCGAACAAGTACAGGACTCTTGGAACATTACAGAGCCAAAATGATTTCTAGCAGGTGGCTTCGATATATTTACCCAAAGCATGAGTAACTCTTAATCTAAGTTTTAACAGACAAAACTCAGTTTCAGCACTACAGCTTTGTACTTCTAACAACTTCAATCTGAACAGTTTAGGCTACATTGCTGATCATACTCATACGAATCACTAACGTTTCCACTTTAATCTAATTTTGCTGAAAAACAACTTAATCTTGCATACCTAAAAGATATGCTTGTAAATAAGGTAAATACTAAAATTATTTTGAATTCTGTGCTTCTAAGGAGCTAAAGCACCATTCAAATACTTAATGATATTGGGGTAGAAGCCAAATGAATGCAATGAAATTAAATGCCATATGGCTGAAATTATTTTATTCAACATTGTTTCAATCAGTCTTTAAGATCCTTGCTTCAAGAAGGAAGTGGTGGAGGGGAAGAACAGGGAGCAAAGGGCTGGTTTTGTTTTGCACTTCAGCTCCTTCTTAATTTCCTCCTGAAAATTGTTCTTTGGTAATGGGTTTGCCCCTGACAGAGGCGAGATTAAGGTTCCACTGGAAGCATCAGGCACTTTAGTGCCAAAATGTCCACCCAGTGATCAGCTGAGATACTCAGCTCTCAGACAGCTATTGCTGTGACAGAACAAAGGCCCGCAAGGATCGTGCGAACACAAAGCACCGCTGCGATGCATGAGTTTTCAAAATCAGTCCCCTAGATCGGGCAAGTCTTCCACTCAGCTCACACCTGATCTTTGATGCTGAGGTAGAAGAACACTAAGTTTAAGCACAGTAGCAGTCCTAACTTTTGCAGAGGGAAATCCTGGATTAATTTTCATGGCATTCCTCTATAGTTAGCTTCATCTGGAAGAGCTAATGCAGCAGGAAATGAATGACTGTGCTAATGCACAAAAATGGGTCTGTTGGGTTGCATACACCATTGCTACACTCAGTTTCACTAAAAACATATCCTTCATTAACAGTTCAGAAATTCTTTGCATTGCAAGAGGTTACTGAACAGACTTGTGGGAATCTCATTGACATCTGCCCTATTTTATCCAAGAGACCCTGATATCTACTTGTAGTCACTTCTGTTCCTGGTAAGTACTGAAGTGTGGGGTGCTGAAAGAAAACATTCTGTCACCCCTTCTGTTCCACATTCATATGGAGCTATAAAAAGGGTTAGTGAGAAGTCAAGGAAGGTTTCCCCACCCTCAGTTTATTCATGAACCAAGATGCATGACTTTACTGTTAGGGATTTAATTCCATTCTTTATCAGATCTTCAAGCACCTGCAGACATTAAGGCAGAAGAACCATTTAGACACAGTTCTGCACAGTGTGCTCTCAGATGACCTTCCCTGAGCAGGAAGGTTAGACCAGGCAACACAACGTGGTCCTTTTCAACCTTAGCAATTCTGTGATTCAAAATTACCTGTTATTTATTCTTTGCCATTTCACAAAAGATATTATAAAAAGCAGATTTCTGATGGAGTATTTATATTAATTCTAAATCTAATATTTGCTCTTTATAGTTACTATCCTTTGTATTGAATTCTACTCCAAGGACCTTTGGTGAGATGAGAAGTTGATTTAGAACATGGAGTGCAGATGGATCAACAGCAGGATAGCTGTGTGTGTCTGGCTGGAAAATTACATATTTTCATTTTCTTAGGTAGAGAGCAGTTCCCAGATATTTGGAGAGGACAGGAACTTTCCTGACTTACATTAGAAGGAGTGTCAAACTTTCATTAATGTTGTTTGCCAGTTTCACAGTTTGAGCTTGAGAGAGTAATCTACTCAAGAAAATATCTGCAAAGTTAAGAAACCAAATCAGTGTTGAGTTTACTACAAGGATTGTTTATTCAGTCAGTTTAAACATTGCAGTTGATCTACAAACATGCATTTATTACCAGGCAGGATCTTATTTTGCATGTGGCAGTATATTCTTTTAAGGCACATCATCAAGACTCTGCACAGCATTCCTGCTCTGCAACAAGTCACTATACTTCATATACCAACTCATACATGCAGTGATGGAGGGTAAAAAAAAGTATGAAGCATTAGTTCTGAAAGTACAGTGAAACTGACTATTTTATTTCTCTCCCTATTTAAAAGAAATTCTTTCAGATGTTTACTGTTAGCAGGAAAACTATGGCAATGAGAATGCAATGAAAACTTGATAAACCCCAAATGTTTAGATTGTGACAACAATACTTGCATAAAGAAACAGTTGTCCTGAAACTTCCTTGCCAGAACAAGTCTCTCCTGCTGAGCCTATTAGCAGGTAGAAAGCTTATATGCAAATATATTGTTTGTATGAAAAAAATTTTGATGGAGCACAGGTAGATAGATGATGCTTATAATGAAAATGGTTGCCCCATGTTTCAGCTTTGTTAACATGCAACAAGAAGTCCCCAAAATGGCAGGGGATCTTTACTAAAATCCAACACAGTAAAGCATATGCTGAGCATGTGCTTTAGTATATGCTTTGAGAAAGCCCCACAGAACTATTTCTATGCTTTATGTTAAATACAAACATATTCTTTTCCCCAGTTCACACTGCCTCAACCCTATAAGCAGCTGAATACTCAGAAGCTAGAACTCTAGTTCTAATTAAAGTGTTTTCAGATAGATAATCAAAGAGAAAAACATAGACAATTGACATCACAGTTTCTGTAATTTTAAGTTTTTCTTAAAAAAAGAGATTCTCACTCTAAGTGAAACACCATTGTATGTATTACTCATGTACATTATCTGAAATGTACTGATCAGTCATTAAACAACTGGGATGGTGAATAATTTGTACTTGGTCATAAACTTCTATTGGAACACAATAGATAAGTCACACTGTACTCAGCAGCAGTAAGTGCGTGACCAGAGAGATCTCTACACACAAAAGCTCTGTTTCCTGGATCATCTGCAGTACTACGAAAACTATCTTACGATGATATCTAACTTACAGCAGATCAGATATTTGAGCCTATTTCCTCAGCAAATACAATACTAACATTATTATTCAGTGTACTGCTAAGACTTGTCAGAAAATCCCAGTGGTTCTAGCTCCCATGTACAAATGTTCAGAGTACCAGATATGGGGAAAACAACCACAGGAATCTATGGCTGTTCATTCTCTGTAAGCACATCAAGAGATTGGATGGAAGAGGAGGAAATAAAAGCACTATTAACCATTTTGTGTATCTTAAATGTGAGTTGAACATTGTAAGG